CACACACACACACGCGCATACTCACACATGGATGCACTCACATACACACAGACACACACACACACACACACACACAAATATCGCCTGTCACAGCAAAAAAAAGAAAGATTTTATTAAAGGTAATTTTGGACACAATGTAAATGGCAGCTGGTGTTTTTAGATTCTTAAAAAAATGAAAAGCGAAACAAAAATGTAGATACAAGTTTTATTTCGACAGCGATGACGCGCACACACACACACACACATGCGTGTGAGATGGGCTCCAATGTGTGAGTCATTGCCCTTTCAAATGGCCGAATGCTGCAGGCTAGAAATGAGAGGAACGCCCATTTCGTCCCATTTTAATTCCAAGGAGAAAATATTTTGTTCTTTGGAATAAAAAAAAAATGCCACACAATGTCACTGATGCAAAGCATCACTCTTTTTTTTCCTGCCATAATATATATGATGATCCTTTGATTGCATCATTGCTTTTTGTGGGTGTGTCTATGTTTTATACACTTAAGAGCACTTTACGGAGGAGGGGTGTGTGTGTTCTTTTTAGAGATTTGTATTAGGTTTGTGGTGTGTTGAATGTGATCTCACTCTACACTGTGTCGTGATTTGGCATCGAGCCTGTGGAGCATTAAAAGTGTGTGTGTGTGTGGATAAGGGGGGGTGATGTGATTTGATTGAATAATCTATGGATTTAATATTCTATAATCCCAGAAAAATCCTCCAACGCCACAGCAGCACACACGAGAGTTTAGAAGTGTGTGTGTATGTGTGTGTTTATGGTTTGTGTTTAGTGAGTATGGCGTGTGTGTGTGTGTGTGTAAGCAGCAGAGTGGCGAGTGGAGCCGGAAGAGGTCTGTTAATGTTCCACACACTCCAGCGCTCTGTGTGAGTGTATTTGCTTGTTGAGGATGAACAACTTCAAACATCAACATTTCTGCTGCTTATTTATCCGAACCAACAGCTTCTCTAGAACATTGAGATGCTCTGATTCTGTTTCTCTGGCAACTAATTACTCATCACCATCATCTCTCTCTCTTTTCCTCTCTCTCTCTCTCGTTTGCTCTCTTTTCTCTGTCTCTCTTTTTTGCTCTCCTTTCTTTTTCTCTTTTTTCTCTCTTCTCTCCTTCCCTCTCTTTTCTATTAGCTTTTCTCTTTTCTTTGTCACTGTCTCTTCTCTCTTTCCCTCTCTTTTCTCTTTTTCTCTTTTCTCTCTGTTTTATTTTTTCTCTCTCCCCCTTTTCTTTCTCCTTTCCTCTTTTTCCTCTTTGTCTCTCTCCTTTCTCTCCCTCTTTTTTCTTTTTCCTTTCTTCTTTTTGTCATCCTCTCTTTTCTTTCTCCCCTCTTCTTTTCCTTCTTCTTTTCTGTCTCCCTCTCTTTTCTTTCTTTTCCTCTCTCTTTTTTCTGTATTTCTCTCTTTTTTTCTTTTCTCTCACTCTTTCCTTTCTTTTTCTTTTTCCTCTTTTCTGTTTCATTCCTTCTCCTCTGATATTCCCCCCTCTCTTTCCCTCTTTCTCTCTCTACATCTTTTTGCTATCACTCTCCTCCTGTTTTCCTGTCTTTCCATGATGCTCTTTCTCTCTCCCCAGTGACTCAATCAGAACTCTTTTTTTATTCTTCTTTTTTCTTTCCCTTCATCCCTTTCTCAAACACTCATTCAATTTCCTGTCTTCCACTTATCTTTCACCTTCGCTCCCCTGTTTTCTTTCTCTCTCTCTCTCTCTCTCTCTCTCTCTCTCCCTCTCTCTCTCTCTCTCTCTCCCCTTCCCTTCCCCGGTTGTCCGGGGCAACCTTGTTTACCTGCTGGAGAGCTCGGCTCCCTGTTGTCATGGCAGCCGCAGTCTGGTTGCCGTGCCGACCTGAAGTGGCAGTGCCATGACGCTCTTTCTCTCTCTCTCCCTCTCCCTCTCTCTCTGTTGCACTCATCCCTTTGTATGCTCTCTCCCTCTGTCTCCTTTTTTTTCCTCCCAACCACTCCATCCCTTCCTCCTCCTCTCTTCTTCATCTCGGAAGCTCGTCATCAGCACAAAAGGGAGCTGAATAAAGCAGCTCTCCAAATTAGCCGTGAATTTCAATTTGACAGATTGCACTGAATCAAAAGGACTAATATTGGTTTTAAATGGAGCCATTCTTTGGAGATAAACACGGCAGCAGCAGCGTTGTCTGTATTTTTTATTGCGTTTTATCTACAGTGACCTACAGAACCGTGAGCCCGTGTTACATCTGTGTGAGAAAAGCTCATTTCACATTATTTCACAGAGAAGAATCTAAAAACAGCGGCTTTATAGTAGCAACAGTGAAGGCTCAGGCTGATATCTAGGCTCGGGAAGAGGCCTTTGTAGGCCATAGTGCTTGGCTTGAAATGAAAAGTAATTTTCAGGCACGTGACCAGCCATTTAACCAGCGTGGAGCAGCAGTGATGCGGCAGTATTGCAACCAAACAGGCCAGCAGGAAAACAGCCATTAATATGCCTCCAATTGCTGAAAGAGTCGCCCGTCTGTTCGGCTCACGCTACTGTTTTCGCTTCAGAGCGGCCTTCTGCTGTCAGAGCTGATGTTAAAGTAGCTCAGCCGCATGTGCAGCTGCTGACATTATAGTCCGAAGACCCCCATCAGAACTGACCCTCAGGCAAACCCACTGGGGTGTGGTGAAATGTTACAGCGCCACAAATGACTGAAGTAATCAATGCAACATCCTTCATTAGTCACAGTGATAAACGGCCCTCTGGGTATTTGACCCGTGTGTGCATGTGTGTAAGTTAATGAGTCATTTTAAAGGTTTTCTGTATAATGTGTGTGTGTGTGTGTGTGTGTGTGTGTGTGTGTGTGTGTGTGTGTGTGTTTGTGTGTGTGTGATCAGTGTAGTGTGTGGATGAAATGAATGATTTACAAATATCAACAATCACCTGCTCCATAATTAAGCTTCTTTGTCACAATTACAAAGCTTTTGTTAGCTAATGCTGCGTTCACACTACACGATTTCAGCCCTGATTTTACACTGGCAGTTTTTGGAGATTGCAGAGAAAAGCCACAGATCTGGGGCAAAATGGTGGGCTAAATCATCAATCCATTCTCTTGCCCATCTTTTTTTTCCTCCTTGTTTTTTCACTGCAAATCAGCGTACGAACAACTTGCAACCCTCGCTTTTTGCTAACATCCGTTTTTTGGGGAAAAAAAAACTGTATCCCACACGGTATCATTCCCTGTGTTATCTCTCATGTGTGTTTACAGCACATAGTTTGGAGACCAGACAGACTTATCGGAGATTCCTTCTGGTGAAAGATCTTGTAATGTGTGACCCCATCGCTCACCAGTCATGTGCAAACCAGATCAACTTGAAGGAGACAGGATTATAAGACAGCAAGTTGTGTAGTGTGAACAGTACATGACAACTTTGAAACTGTGTCTATGGCTTTAGTCAACCTTCTCTCTTTTATCCTTAATTCTCTTCTCTTCTCTTCTCTTCTCTTCTTTTTTCATTTCTTTTCTTTTCTTTTCTCTTCTCTTCTCTTGTTACTTACTCTTACTTATTCTTATTTCTTTATACTTCTTTTCTCATGTTTCCTTTTCCTGTCTTTTCTTTTTTTGCTGTGGCTTCTTTGATTCTGTAACCACTTTTTTCTCTTCACTTTTCTTTCCTCCTCATCCTTCTCACATTTTCTCTCCTCTCCTCTCCTTTCCTCTCCTCTCTGCTTTTCTCCTCTCCTCTCCTCTCCTCTCCTCTCTTACGTTTATCTTTTAGCACTTAAAAACAGAAACTAAAGCTGGCAGTTTGATGCGAAAATTTCTCTGAGTTGTATTCTTGATATTTAACATATGTTTAACCTTATTTCTGAATGAAAGTCTCCTCAGGCCTTGTTTGTTTTTATTTATGAGGCTAGACTGAAAAAGTTCGAGTGTAAAAAGAAAGATCTTGATTTGTAAACATGCCAAACGGTTAAAAGGTTAGCATGCGCTCCGATAATATATCAATTACTCTTTCTCTTTCTCCCTCTTTCCTCCTTCTCCTCCTCCCCCTTTTTCATCCCTCTCTCTTTCCCCTCACGATGCTTTTTCTCCTCTCTTTTGCGAGCTCTGAATCTCTCACCATTTTAATCTGGCGAAGGGCTGTAAGCCAGATTAGCCGGCGAGCGCGCTTAATCCCATCACTCCTTTAATCTCGCGTGGGTGTGTGCTTTTTCCTGGTGTCATCCAGCTGAGAGGGAGAGAGAGAAAGAGAGAGGGATTAGCAGAGAGAGGGAGAGAGAGCACAAACGTGATCTATGATGAGGTTGGAGAGAGAGAAAGAGACTGTGAAGCAGGCAGACAAGGGTTAAAAGGGAATTCCACTGATTTTTTTAAAGGATTCTGCATAATGAAATCATTAGGATGTAAACAAAGTTCACATTCAGAGCAGTTTGCTGTGAAGTGTTTCAGTGTAGAGAAACTTACCGACTCAGATTTGTTCACAGTGATGGTGACAGAAACCAGAAGTCACAATACAAATATAGCCATTTTATTTACTATCCAAAATGACCAATGTACTTACACATGTCGTTTTAAAAAATATGTTTTAAGCCAAAACCTTATCTCAGAACTATCATAAAACAATATCTCAGGCATCAGGCAGCGTATTCAACTCTTCAGACGTCCGGTTCCCATCTTCACTGCTATTAACAATTCTAACTCACTTTATTTAGAACGGAGCATTTCACAGTAAACCTCTCTGAATGACTGTGTTCATATCTTAACTATTCAATTATGGAGGAATTTAGAAAAATCTGTGAACTTCCCCTTTTAAAGATACCTGAAGTGAATGAAAAGATGGAGCGAGTGTAGAAAAAGGAGAAATAGGGCGTCAGGTAGGGAATGCACTTTGGAAGTGGAACACAGGGACAGATGGGCAGATCAAAAGATGTCAGCATCATCCCACATATATCCAGCCTCGGTTTATAGGGCATGATAAACATTTAGAGAAGGAGAGAGAGAGAGGATTATGACATGTGAATTGTTTGTGTGTGTTCCAGATGAACCGGCCCATTCAGGTGAAGCCAGCGGACAGCGAGGGCCGCGGAGGTAAGAGGCAGAAACAAAACACCACCTAATTTATCACAGCATTCAACAACGTTCAATCACCAACATTAGTTTGTTGACAGTAGTTCAGGGGGATGCATTTTCATGTATACGAAGAAACACTTCTTCAGTCTGATAAAATGAAAGGGAGAAAACAAAACTGCAGTCACGCTTACATTAAAGGGCTTATATCCCACATTTTTTGTGTACTTTATTTAATGAATTTTTTTTTTATACATAGAGGTCCATTTCTAATATTTGTCTGGCTTTATGAACCAAAACAGTTATAATTCATTTTTAAATGACCACTTTCCAGCCTCTTTAGAATTAAATCCTTTAGAATTAAACAGGCTGTGTTTTTAAGACTGATATGTGTAAATTAGCTCTGTTCTGATTGCCGTGTATTGTGCCTTGTTCAAAAAACAGTCAGAGATGAAACATTCCCTATAACTTCAGCATGAAGCTAAACTGTTGTAGGCTGAACAGGCAGGTAATGTAAATGCATTCTTTTTTGTGAAATCACAAGAGCAGTGAGTTCAGAACAGGTCATTGCAGCTTAATTTTCATAATTGGGATGAGTGCTACGTTTTGAACGTTTATGTGCTGCATTAAACTCTTATTTTCCTTTAACTGAAACAACAAGCCATACATACACTGCTGTTCTAGATAGGGGTGCAACGGTGCATTGTGGTGTTGTGATATCGCATTGCAAAACTGTAACAAAGCATTGTGGACAATGGACATTCTATTAGTTATGCCATCTAATGCAGTTGGATTGTTTGAACACCAGAAGTTTGCAGTCTGCACTAATCAGCGCCTCACTCCTGCACTCCCCTTGACTACCAGCCCTAGTATCGCAGACTGTGCAACAACATATTTATATTTCTTCATTTGAATTTTGTTTAACAATACAGTGAATACTGTTCCTCTGCACAATTTGTTAGCCCCCTTTCACTCTGTTTTTCAATGGTCAGGACTGACATAGAACAGGTATTCTCTGGGTGGTGGATCATTCTCAGCATAGCACTGGTCGAAGGACACTGCTCACAGGACACTTTTGCCTGGATAGGGCCATGTTAAGTTGGTGTTAAATACACAGATCACTTTATTAATCTCAGAGGGACAAAGTACAGTAAAGACCAAAAAAAAAAAAAGACTTAGTATTGCCGTACGTTATTTATATGCATAAATAGAAGAAGTAAAGATACAGAATAAAATATAGCAAAAAATATAATGTGCAGTACAAAGATTAGTAATATATTACACTCATTGCTCTCATTAGATTTGCAGGTGAAAATGTAGTCCTAAAAAGATCCATTTCCATGGTCCATTTTTGTCAAGTATGTTTATCATATAGGCGTACTTTGTAGTTGTGCAATTACAGATTGTGACTTTTTGATGTAGCATTCAATTAACATTGAGAAGTTGTAAGTAAAAATAAAGTAATGCTAGATGTGTCCAGAATGATGCTAAGATTCTAACATCACTAAGAAAGTTGTATAACATTAAGAATTAAGATAGAGTAACATTTACTGTCCGGAGTTCATTTAAAAAAATTAGAGATGAAATAATAAGGCGCATAACAAATTAATGTAAATCCATATTCACATTACTGTATTACTTGCAATGTAATAATAATTAATAAAATATTTTAAAAATTACCTTTTGGTGAAAGGTTTGTAATATTTCACTGTACAATGCATAAATTATTATATATGGAAAGTAATGAAAAGGCTAATATGGCAAGTAATTCCAGACTTTTTAAGGGTCATCATGGAAAACATTGTGGAAAAGGTTTCTTCTTGTCTGACACACACACACACACACACACACACACCCACACACACACACACACACACTTTATCAGTAAAAGATGGATGCTGCTCTCTAGTGGACAGAACTAGCAAAGCAGCTAAACAGCAGCATTGTACCGTCATGTCTGAACCATCAGTCAAATTACATGTTTTGTTGATTTTTCTAAATGAAAATAAGTTAACACATCCTCTACAGAGAACACATTTAAATATGACATTTTTCTGAAATTTGAAGTGCAGAATATTTAATATATTTTTAATTTATTTTATTTTGGGGAAAAAAAAATGTGCCATAATTTCTGCACAGGCCACATTTTATTCTTTTTTGTATTCCAATATATTTAATTATGCAAATAAATAGTAATTTTGTATTAAAATGTGCAGAAGTGTGTTCTAAGTGTGTAAAGGATGAGTGAACTCTTTCATTAAAAAAAAAAAAAAATAATAATAATAATTTGACCAAGACGTATAAACTTTTGCATACAACTGTATATGGCATCAATACTGATATGGAATCCAAATTTGGTAGGTTTACCCCTTCTCTGTCTCTCTGTCTTTCTCTCTGTCTCTCTCTCTGTCTCTCTCTCTGTCTCTCTCTCTCTCTCTCTCCTCTCTCTCTGTCTCTCTGTCTTTCTCTCTGTCTCTCTCTGTCCCTCTCTCTCTCTCTCTCTCTCTCTCTCTCTCTCTCTCTCTCTCTCTCTCTCCTCTCTCGGTCTCTCTCTCTCTCTCTCTCTCCTCTCTCGGTCTCTCTCTCTCTCTCTCTCTCTCTCTCTCTCTCTCTCTCTCTCTCTCTCTCTCTCTCCTCTCTCGGTCTCTCTCTCTCTCTCTCTCTCCTCTCTCGGTCTCTCTCTCTCTCTCTCTCTCTCTCTCTCTCTCTCTCTCTCTCTATAGACAGGAAGCTGTTTGTCGGAATGCTGGGGAAGCAGCAGTCGGATGCTGATGTGAGGAAGATGTTTGAGCCATTCGGCAGCATAGAGGAGTGCACTGTGCTTCGAGGGCCAGACGGAGTCAGCAAAGGTCAGCAACCGTGCACGCACACACCACTTCAAATGCACACATGTACAAGCTACTACTATAAATACCTTTAGCGTCAATCTGACAATGTTATTTACGGTCTTAGTTCATGAACCTGGTTAAGCATTTTAAAAACAAATGCTTTCTAGTTTAATGACTTTTCCTCGCCTTGAAAATGACTGAGTTGATCACATCACCATGCGCCAGTGGGTGGGAAATACAGCACAGTAATGATATTAGAAATTTGTATTAAATCTACTTGCATTAGCATTTCAGAGAAATGGAATGTTTGTTTCCATGGAGTTACAAATGCAGCAAAATGAATAAAATGCCAATATTTTAGTGCAGGGTTGTTTAAACATTTTGCTCTTCTGCAGCCATATTACAGAAAATTCCTATCCTACGTTAAGACCTGTCAAGGTCAACACAAGATCTTTCACAAATTCATGTTACTGAAGCAAATCTCATCTTAATTTAGGAATTTTATCCTTTACAGCTTCGTACAACATCTTATCTCAAGTAAATCTGCTGCAAAAAGCAGCACAGCTGGTTTATTCTTATCTGGTGCTGGTTTAACTCATCACCCAGTATGGTCATGCTGGTTGACCAGCACACCAGCATCCACATCGCAACATATACCGGTTTTGCTGGTAACCAGCCATGCTGGTGTATGCTAGTTTTTCTAGGAAGGAAGGCAGTTATAATCCACTCAGTGGAGACAGATTAGCGGTTGTTATGTCTGTTTTCATACACGCTCAGCTGAGGCATAAACACATCATCAAAAGTTACGTAAACAAAACTGTAAGCTATAGTATAAACAGCTACAGTGTGTTAAAAAAACAACTAAAATTAAGTGTGACAAACTGGTAGTTTCAGTGACCTCAATTGGAAAGATTAAGAATATTGTGACTGTGCCCCCTGCTGTTTAACAGGGGCATCTCTCATTTTTGTCAAGACTTTTGGCACCCAGTCCGCTGTGCTATTCCTCCTAATAAATAGTCACTCATTTAATTCTGTTTCCTCATTATTCACTGCTATTGCTGCAATATAGGGCAAGTTTTCACCTACACCTTAACAGACTTGGGTGATGAGAAGGAATTAGACAGAAGGTTCATGCAGAATGAATAAATTTATGGTAACACCATTATGTGATCTAAGAATGATATAAACGGAAGGTGGAAACAAAAGTTAGGACACCGCAATTAGGACAGTATTTACGAAATGTATTTAGGATGCTTCTGTAATTCTCTTTTTAAATGGAGTTAAGATAAGATTATGAACTTAGGGACTTTTATTCTGTAGTAGCTTCTGTCCTAAACTCAGTTCTGACTGAAGTTGTCATAATTATTAAACAGATATGATTTCTGAGTTAAGATGTTTCTGCAATAAATGTGCCATCAACTATCAGTCAAGTCTAAACTGAACTTATTTGCTGATACCGATATGATTTCTATATGACCATGCATCCCTAATTTCCGATTAATGTTAAAGTCTTATGCTATTGGCTTGCTGCTTATTTCACATTGGCTTTATGCACTGGCTGCATTAGTTTGATTGATATGTTTGTGGAGGGCAATTATGCGTGCTGTGCTCTGTGTGACTGTGTGTCTGGAGCGGATGATGCGCTCGCTGTGGTAAATCATTAACAGACTCGTGTTCCAGTATGTTGCTGTATGTAGGTCATAAGAAAGGTGTGGCTCCAATTTGATGGCACATTGGGAGATTATTTGAATCTGCCTTTGGGCTTGTTGGATGATGGATCATGTAGAAGTGTACAGGCCCTGTGGGTTGATGGACTTTTGTGATTTCCTGGTGAGACAGAGATGAGAAAACCGCCCTGTCCTTGTATAATTCATTAGTGTGGGAGAGCATTCTGTAGTACAAGTTAAAGGCCTTTGCCTTGACTGAGGCACTTTATATCAGACTTGCCAGATGAAATGGCTTTAATACTGCAATATTTCTTTGAATTTAAAAACATCCAAAATTACATTACAAAATATTTTTAAAAAATGTATTGGAGTGTCTTTTTTTTCAGTTGCATTTTAAGCAGCATGGCATGCAATGCATGTAATGTTTCAGCTCAAATGGTTGGAAAATGCCTGGAGGGCAACAAGACCAAGAATAAAGAGAGTCAAATTTAGGTCAGTATGATGCGGTTTAACATCAGTGGCCATGAATAGACAATGTTTGGCTTATATTGTGAGATATTGATTAAAATTCCACAGAAGAACTTTCCCCAGAGATTTAGTTGAATGACAGAACCAGGTAGTGGTTGATATTCTCCATTGAATTCCTTTATGTCTGTCTAGTATTATCTGTTTGCCATGAAGATTTTTCATTAATTCTTCAGTTATTTACTATTTATTTACTGATTGTAAATATAGTCATTCAGTGACTTTGATGTGAAATGGTTCATAGTAGAGAAATTTACACACTTCCGTACAGTGGTGGTAATAGGAACCAGAGGTCTCAATGTCAACAACACTAATATAGCCACTTTATTTACTGTCTAAACTAACATGTGAACCTACATGCGCCTTTTGGGTTTTATGTGTAATGTTGATAATGGTAAAATAGTAATATATATGAAAAAATGTGTACATTTTCTTTGTGGACTATTTTGTCCTACAACACCCTGCTTGTGCTTCTCTGTCATGGATGACATTTTAACATATCATCTGCATTTTGTGTAGTAATTTTCTGTGAAGGAGGTTTTAGAGGCATGAAACGCTTTACATGTCTGATTCCGATCACACCTTTCTGAACAATTACGAATCTAGAATGCACATTTCACATCAAACCACTTTGAATGACTTTTAATTATTTATTGTACAAAAAAATAGAACAAAATGGAGAGAAGCCATGAGGGCTGACAGTGTCGCTCAGGATCTCTCTGTGCTGCTGTGTGTTGTATATGAAGATGCTGTGTGTTGTATGTAAAGATGCTGTGTTGTATGTAAAGATGCTGTGTGTTGTATGTAAAGATGCTGTGTGCTGTTGTGTTGTATTTGAGGCTGCTGTGTGTTGTATGATTAAAACTGACTGCTTTGTATTGCAGGTTGTGCGTTTGTGAAATATCAGAGCAACGCAGAAGCTCAAGCAGCCATCAGCGCTCTACACGGCAGCCGCACTCTACCGGTCAGTCTGTCTTTGTCTCTCTCTCTCTCTCTCTCTCTGACTCTCTGTCTCTTGGTTGATATTATAGTTAATCTCTTACACAAGCAACTTCAGATTTCCTTGAGGATTCATTGTTTAGAAGAATAGAATAAAAGAACAAAAACAGTGTGAAAAGAAATTAAACCATAAAACAAAATGAAGGGTACATACACATAACACAGGGAATAAAATAAGCATAAAGACAAACTGCGGAGGAAGCAGTAGTTTCACTAAACAGATGTTACTCTCTGATTTTAGTACTTTTGTGCCTGTACATGCCTCCTACAGTCACACCTACCAGCATACTGTGACAGAGGAGCACTGTCAGAATAACACTCAGTCGGACACATGCTAACAGAATGGATGCTTTGTGCTTTCATCACCCCCGCCATATTTCCTCTCAACACAACACTTCCACTTCCAACATTCTCAACTGCTCAGTGCTTTGAAGCTGAAGACTTCTCTCTCTCTCTTCTCTCTCTCTCCTTCACTCAGGGGGCCTCCTCCAGCCTGGTGGTGAAGTTTGCAGACACAGAGAAGGAGAGAGGCATCAGGCGCATGCAGCAGGTCGCTTCTCAGCTGGGCGTCATCAGCCCCATGAGCCTCCACCTGGGGGCCTACAATGCTTACACACAGGCAGTGAGTACTAACCTTTACCTAACATACTAATACAACAGAGTCCTAACTGAGATATACTGAGTACTAGAACCTTAAAATAGAGAGTACTAATATATGCTTACAGTCAGTGAGTGTGTACTTAGTGTTATTGCAGCGTGTACTAACCCTAAACCGCAGCATGTACTGTCCCTGTACTAACTAGTACTTTCTTCAATAAAAGAGCTGAGTACTGTACTAACCAGTCATGAACCATTAACTATTAGAGTTAGGCCAATTCGAGTCATTAAAAAAACAATGCTAATTTTCTACTAGTGTATTGGGGTTAAGGTCATTTTTTTAATTCTAGATTAAACATGGGCATGTAAAACTTAGTAAAACTTAGCAAAAGACATTCCATATGTTTTATTTGATGCTTGCAACAGACAACGGCATATATCCTACCTTGTATGTTCAAGTTTTAGTCTGACTCTCAGCAAAGAGTCCAGACATAGAGCTGCCACTGCTTCCATTTCTAACAACTGACTGAACCCTGGTTAGATTACCACATGATTTCAGACAGTGATGCATCTAGGACTTCCGGAAGGCCTTTTTTCTCACAAAATTGGTTTCACCTATTGTATATCATTATGGGATTGGTTGATTCCACTGTCACTTCCTAATTATGCTGGTAGTTAATCTAATGTGTAAGGCGTTCAATACAGCTCCTGAAGTCCTAACCAATGGGAGAGCTTATTTGTCTTTATCTACCTAGATAGCACAGCATAAAACTTTCTGATTGGATGATTTTCCTTTGGACGTTTCCAGAATTTGTCCATTTTGTGTCCAATGAATACGTAATAAGAGAGTACTACTACAACAAATTAGACATTTATGTTCAGAAATCATTAGGCCTTATGTCTATACACATGCAGTGAGTCTTAGAATGCAGGGTGTCTACACACAGGCTGCACTAAGTTGTACAACATACTGTAGTTTAACACTTTACCTCTACATACAGGCAATAGTAGAGTCCTAAGTACCACTTAGTTGCACTAATTACTTCTAACCTCTTACAAAGGCCATATGTACATGTAGCCAAGAGTGCTTGATGTAATATACTACGGTAGAAATGTACTAAGCACCTATAGCACAGTAAATTTATTCTCTTCTGCTCTTTTCCCTCTAGCTTGTTCAGCAGCAAGCTTTGGTGGCTCAGTCCGCTTACCTGTCTCCTGTGGCAACAGTTGCAGCAGTGCAGATGCAGCAGCTGGCTGCTCTCAACCCCAGCAGCATCATAGCCACACCCATTGCATCAATCACCCCCTCCTCAGGTGACCATGCCCTTTTCATCACCCCAAAATGCACTTCCCTGTGACAGATGCTCTTTTAAAATGAACTTTTTTTGCCAAAGCTACAGTACAGCACACATCTCACTTCTCGTAAATTATGAATATATTTTTCTCCCTTGAGGTAGTCGCTACATTGATGTGTAAAACTCCTGTATGTGAAACATTTTTTTCAGTACTTAATTTTTGTAATTGCTCTTCTAAAGGTACAAGCACCCCTCCAGCCATTGCTGCCACACCTGTGCCTACTCTGCCTCCACCAATCGCAGTCAACAGTTACCCACCTGTGCCTGCCCCACCCAGTGGGCAATCAGCCTCAGAAACACTGTACACCAATGGAGTCCACCCTTATCAAGGTGAAGCCCCACCCACTCTCTAATGGCGTATTTCCACCATGCAGTCTGAGATCAACAACGTGTGACGATTCTTTTATGTTTGCGTTTGACCATTCAACGATTTGCACCATTATTTGTTCCATACGTTACGGCTCGGTACGCTTGGTACCCCAGCAAGAAGGATAACCAAATTCGGGACTGGTAATACAGTTTACTTGGCAGTGGAAATTGCAACAAAATGCAAGATCACAGATTTGTAATCGTACTGTACTGTACCGCACTGTCCGGTGGAAAACCACCATAAGACCTACACTGTAATGCAAAAGTTTGGGCACCCCTGGTCAAATTATATATTTTGTTGATTTTCTAAATGGAAATAAGTTAACACATCCTCTACAGAGAACACACGTCTGCATATTTTAATACTCAATTACTGTTTATTTGCTAAATGTAACAAATTGGGGGGAAAAACTATTGGAGGGAGGCATAAATTGTTTATGCAAAATTATGGAATATTTTCTGTTTTATGTTTTACTTTTTTGCCAATATGTTAAACTAAGCAAATGACAAGAAACTGTGCACTAAAATTTGTGTTAACCACCTAGAAAATCAACATGACATTAAAATTTAACCTAGGGTGTTCAAACTTTTGCATACAGCTGTTTAACAGTACTGTAGCCTGTTCCATTGTTTCTGTCTTGTTCTTTCTTCTATTAACTCTCTTTTCCATCTATTTGTTCTCTCTTGTATTCTGTCTCTCCCTCTTTCTTGGGTTTCTGTTTGTTTTCTGTGTCTTAAAGCTCAGAGTCCTGCTTTGGATCCTCTTCAGCAGGCCTACACTGGCATGCAGCACTACACTGGTGAGGCGTACAGAGTTGTTGTACCCTGCATTGAGTTTTTTTTTGTGTATGGCTAATATTTGGAAACAACACTTTTAGAATTTACAATAATAATATTCAGTTATGCTTATTTTTGCTTTGTAGAATGTTTATTGTAGCTGTCATAAGAAAACGTCATAACTCATTTTTTTCACCACCCACAGCCACATATCCTGCTGCTTATGGATTGGTTGGTCAGCCATTCCCACATCAGCCCACCCTGGTTGCTCAGCAACCCCAGCAGCCACAGCAGCTGCAGCAGCGAGAAGGTAGTGGCCACTTCCTGTTCCTGGCCTCTAGGACCACAAACATCCTGTTTTCATTACTCACTCTCCTCTTCTGGATAAAGAAGCCATTTTTCTCCATTTTTCTCTTAACTGTCTTACCGTCTAAATAGTTTAGAATTAAAAAAGGGGGAAAAAAAGAATCTGGATCACCATGTAAACATATCTTCTCTTTTTCATTGTACTAAAACAGCTCTTCACATTCTTCTGTTTTTTCTAAGGTCCAGAGGGCTGTAATATCTTCATCTATCACCTGCCTCAGGAGTTCACAGACTCAGAGATGCTGCAGATGTTTCTCCCATTCGGCAACGTCATCTCGGCCAAGGTTTTTGTTGACCGTGCCACCAATCAGAGCAAATGCTTCGGTGAGTCAAAGAGAGATGTTTAGAGGGAATAACAGTTTAGAAGGTGTTTAGAAGGTAAAACAAATATGACTGGGCTCACAGAGTAACGTTAGCATGATATTATGCCTTAACAAAAGATTTTATCTATGAAATTTTCAGAGAGGAGGAAAAATATTCTAAATTTTATATACACAATTTGGCCAGCAGTATGACACCTGACCATCACACCAATATGAGGGGCACAGTCATGCTGGAACAGGAACTGACCTGCCCCTAACTGTTTCCGCAAAGTGTTGAGCGTATAATTGTCTAAAATGTTTTTATATGCTGTAGCATTAACATGATCCTTCACTGGAACTATGGGGCTGAGCCCAAACACTGCAGAACAGCCCCAGACCATTATCTCTCCTCCGCCAAACTTTACTGTTGGCGCTATGTATTTCTCTAGGAAGCATTGTTCTGGCATCCATCAAACCGTTTTGACCATCAGACTGCCAGACAGTGAAGTGTGATACATCACTCCAGAGTACATGTTTCCACTTCTCCAGAGTCAAGTGGCAGCATGCTTTACGCCACTCTAGCTGACGCTTAGCGTTAGCACAGTCTTCTTAGGCTTGTGTGCTGCTGCTCGGCCACGGAAACTCATTTCATGAAGCTCCCAATGCACGGTTCTTCTGTGGATGTAGCTTCTAGAGGCAGTTTGGAACTGTGTAGTGAATGGTGCAACAGAGGATAGGAGATTTTTTGTGCTTTAGCACTTGGTGGCCCTGCTCTGTGAATTTGTGTGGTGTACCTTTTCATGGCTGAGCTGTTGTTGTTCCTAGATGCTTCCATTTCACAGTAATAGCACTTACAGTTGACTGGGGCAGATCTAGCAGAGCAGAAACTGATTGGTGGCAAAGCTTGCATCCTATGACAGTTCCACGTTTAAAGTCACTGACCTTTTCAGAACAATCCATTTTCAACCCATTGTGCTTGATTTTATACAACTGTTAGCAATGGATGAGGCTGAAACACCTGAACTCAGCAGTTAGGAGCAGTGTCCACATACTTTTGGCCATATAGTGTATGTTAATGAATATAGTTACAAGGTTTTAATATGGTGAGATATGGTAAGAAGGATTCTACAGGATCTTTAGTGCTCTGGCTCATGCTCTGCATTCTCTCATTTCTTTGCAGGCTTCGTAAGCTTCGACAACCCAGCCAGCGCTCAGACTGCCATCCAGGCCATGAATGGCTTTCAGATTGGCATGAAAAGACTAAAAGTGCAGCTGAAGAGGCCTAAAGACGCCAACCGTCCATACTGAGATGGCCAGGTGAGAATGAGATGGGGAGGAAAGAGAGGGTCAGTAATGTATCCTAATGACAGAGTGAAATATGGTTGTGTATGCTTACAATGTTTAAAGTAAATTTGGCCCTCATTTTCAATAATGCACTGCTAATTCTGTAACTTAAACAGAAAGACAGGCTCTCTCTGTTTCAATACTATTTTGACTTAAGCGATTGTGTAATTCTTGTCTAAATACATGTAAATTACACTTGAAAGAAATGCTTACTTAAAGTGAAAGAGAAGCTAGACAGTAACCAGTTGATTAATTTTTACTTTTCATTTATTGTTTTTGTGCTGTGTCATTGTTCATTCTCCTGAAAACAAACAAACAAACAAACAAACAAAACCTCATCCACACCCAAGGCTGCCCCGTCCAATCATAACTCGTGTGGAGACCACGTCGCTATGGCTACGGTGGCCTAGCAACCAATAAAGCTCCCCCCTTCCTCTCACAGCGTTTGTTGTAAGTTGATTGGCCTGTGTTGGTTGCTGTGGCGATATTCCTGCCTGTGATGGTTGCCATTAGCAAGTTTTGTTTTCTGGCCCTTTTGTCTTCTATCCTCCATGCTGAGAGTGCATGGCGGGTTACCGTGGTGACCATGGACTGTGTTTGGTGCGTTGTGACTTTCTCTTTTGTTTTGTAAATACTGATCAATAACTGACATTACTATTTTTTGAAGATCTTTAACGTATCGTAAGTGTAAATAGCTAATCATGCAAAAGTAACTCAAAGCTAATTAAGCACTTCATTAGTTATTTAAATGCTCTAGTGTTTGGGCGGATTTTGTTTTTGATCAGTCTCCTCTGTGTTTTGTTTGGTCATGACTATTTCTTACAACTATTCCCATGCGTAGTCTGGTGGTGTTTTAGTTACTGTGACCGTGGGGGATACAGTGTGGTTGTATTTGATTACGAGAAAGTTTGTGCTAGTGGGTATGCTGTTTTGTGCAATGAGTGAGGGAATGAATGAACCTCAGTGAATGAGCGTGGGTGTGTGTGCATGTAGTAGTGGGCGATATGACCAAAAAAAAAATCACAGTATAATCCAGATTTCTCACTGTGTCAGCATATCGAATATGTATATATGTAAGCAAAAGTTTGCGCACCCCTGGTTAGATAACGTTTTGTTAATTTTCCAAGTGAAAATAAGTACCCACATCCTCTACAGAGAGCACACTTCTGCACATTTTAATCCACAGTTACTGCTTATTTGCTAAATTTAACACATTTGGGGGAAAAGAAATAACATAAATGTGGCAAATGCAAAACCTGTGGCACATTTTCTGTTCAAATATGTCATATTTGTTACATAACAGTTACACAAATATGTCGTATTTAAGTGTGTTCTCTATAGAGGATGTGCAAACTTATTTTAACTTAGAAAATCAACAAAATATGTAATTTTACCAGGGGTGTGCAAAATTCTGTATACAACTTATATGTATGTTGTTACTGTCGCAACAAGGCCGTTTCTTTTACTTTTTCTCATGACAAATGGGCCAACAGAAATGGTCCAAATGACATTTACTTACAATCTAGCATGTTTTTGCCCTTTCCTGTAAAGTTACTGTATCAATAGTTTTAAGTGAAACCGTTTCAGATGCTTAAAAGAACCTATGTTTATCTGTAGCTTATTATTCTGAAATTATTCATTCACTTTTAAAAGCACCATATTTTACAGGTGAAGAAAATTTTAAATAGTTTAATTGCAAAAATAGAAAAAAGTTAATAATATTTAGATAAACCTATGACGTGTACTCGTAAGCATGCTGTAGAACTATATAGATATAATTTTAAACAAACTATTTATTCCAGTTTGTACCTTGCATCGTTTGCGCTTATTTCTGGCATATCTGCATACAAGTTATGACAAATAATGCCTAATATGGTTTTGTGAAAATTGTATTTACATAATTTTCCGCCACAGATGTAGTTAATCAGCCAAGACATGTTTAGTGTCCAAATTTTGCAAATTTTTCTTCAAACCCAACTTTTTCTGTTAATACATTCCAAAATCTTCTCTCGACCCATTCAGAATGCATCCAAGTCTTCATTACAGTCATCCAGACTTATCAATATGGTTTAGGATACAGTATAACTAACTGTGAGCTATAAAATGAACATGTATTGCATGAACAACTAATATCTGATATATAATAAGAATAAGAATATCTGGGGTAAGAGAAATTTAAAATTGAAAAATGGTGGCAATTTTTCACAGAACTGTTTCTTTTAACCAGTATACCACATGGACTGGAATATCGGCCACTATTACATGTACCTGAGTCTGTGTGTGTGTGTGTGTGTGTGTATGTGTGTGTGAGAGAGAGAGAGAGAGTGAGAGAGAAAGAGAGAGAGAGAATGATGAGAGAAAATTCATCCACTATCTCTCAAATCTCTCACGTGAGGTTTGAGGTGACAGTTCGTGATTGTTATTGTTATGGTGACATAAGTGACGCATTGTGCTGACCAAAGAACAGCATTCCTCTGTAGGAATTCTGGGTTTTGTAATGTTTAAGTTCATTTAAAAAAAACACACATACAACCACTTTCCTCATAGCTTTCCTACATAATTGTATTCAGTTTACGATTATGTTCACTCAACACAATACCGATTTCAGCAGATATCATAAATATAATAAATCATAACGTACAGCCCAGAATTCCTATGGTGCATGTTGGAAATTTGTTTGCCTGCCAGAAATCTTTCCCACTTTGAAACAGCCACTAACACCTGAACACACATTATTGACCATACACCCATTCACTGGCTTAATACTTTAATTGCATGGACGTATGGTAAGATCACTGCTAAAATGCCCCCACCAGACACACCACATGTATTAACTTGTCCCCCTTTTGTCATGACCAAAAGTCATTTCAAATGACCTAAACCTTTTATTTTTCTCTCCTTTTCTCTCTCTTTCTCTCCCCCTCTCTCTATCTCAGGTTTAAAAAAGAGGACTGAAGAAGTTTGGAGAGAATAAAAAAACCACCTTTTTTTTTTCCTCAGCTGCAAAATTACGGGACCAACTGCTTGTTTCAAATATCGTACGAAGATAATGAATACGAATATATACATTTAACAGATTTACCTAACCCGCTGCACAAGGCTTGGGTATAAAAAAAATAAAAAATATACATTTACAACCTCATCAGTATACAGTATATGAGCGAGAACTTTTTGTAGGCATTCTGTACAGCTAGTCACTGGCTAAAACACTATCGATGCAATGTCACAGACTTTGCACATTTGTTTCATGCGCACTATTTGAAAGTGTGTGTGTGTTTGGGTGTTTCAGGTGGTTTCAAGGCTCCATCAGGTCTGGAACCATCACAGCAACACTCTGCACATAAAACGGGACCAACACAAATATGTCACGTCCACACAAAGGGGGATAAGACTGGCTTGTGCTTACACTGGACTACTGAAGTCTATTAAGCGCCAGTTACGTGTATATAGAAATTTATTTGGGCCATAAAAAGGCATATCAGTGGTGTTGTGGGGGGAATTGGTTGGGTTTTTAAATTATTTAAGCTCACCAGTGGGTACGTTAGCTAGGGAAAGAGCATTGCAGTAGAAGTTGCCTGCAAGCACTGATCTAATTCAAGTAGAAATGGATTGCGGAAGACAAGAAATCAGAGAGTTCAGGAAGATCAGAGAAGAGCGAAGACAAAAGGGAGGGGGGCACGGGTGGGAGTTGGGGTAAGAAAATGAATATTGTCCATCACAGTAAGGCCGTAGTTAGATTTTACATTTTCAGATATGTTTAGGATGATTTTGGGGGAAACTTGTGGGGAAAATAGAGTGGAAAGCATTTTAAAATAATGTATTTCATTGTATATATCATGGTTTGAAAATGGAAGTTAAGAATCTGATTATTATTATTATTGTTATTATTATTATTATTATTACTATTATTATTACTATTATTATTATAGTATTCTCCTTGGTTCAAAAAAGGTAATTTTTTATTCTTTTTTTAAACAGTTGATTAATTTATTGATTTCTCGATGAAGGCTGTTTTTTAAATTATTTATGAAGATAGAGGTTCATTGGCATGTATGCCCGTGGATCAAAGTATTTTTAGAACTTTTATTTACAGAATTACAATTAATGAACAATCATTATTCTCTATTTATTTTCTTCAGGCCTTGTTTCACAACCTGTCAATTACCAGAAAAATAAAATAAAATTTTAAATAATAAAGTGTCTTGCATTGTGATCACTGTCAGTTTTTTGTTTTTCTTTTCCAAGTGAAATCTTGTCCAGAGGATTCTTACATTTAACGATTCAGTTATTTCTAAGATATTTTTCTTTGTAGCTGTTTTTAACACTTAACTGTGTAGTGCAATGTTCCTAATAGGATGGCTTTGAAAGGAAGTGATTTGTAACTGAGAAACACTCACCTACATCCTATCCTCAAGGTTTCTGAGGCATTGCTGTCTTCATATTAATATATATGTCTTAAGTATGTTCACACTGCTGTGAAACCTTGTTTTGCTAATCAGTTTGAACAGTTTACCCACCAAAGCTACAAACTACAGTCATCTGAACAAGTCAATATGCCGATAGTAACTTTTGACTGAAGGTTAAGGTTCAGTTGGTGTAAAAGGGTCCAATAAATGTTTATTTTCTTATGAAATTGCGTTCTTCCCTTCAATAGCCGAATTACACGGAAGTTTCACGAGCTAAATTGTGTTAGTGTGTCCACTCTTTACATTCATTACAGCTTCCATTCGTGTCAGCAGACTTGCTTTCAGTTTTTTCAAAGAAATCTGCAGAAGTTTTTTTTTTTTTATACCTCCAAAGTTCAGTCTTAGAAGTTGGCTGCATTTTCTGCTTCTCACAATCCAAGCAGTTTTTTTTTTATTTGTTTGTTTTTGATTTGTTTGACAGATCTTTTTTAGGCAGTTTTGCTGGTCTACCAGGTCTTCCGCAGTTGTTTGGAGTCACATTTTCTTTCTATTTTTTAATAATTGTTTCTCTTTGACTTTCCCCTCACTTATGCGTATATTATATTTAATCCCCTCAGAAATATCTGTTTCTATAATGAATGTTAGGCCCATGTTTACTTTGATACAGCAACAATGCAGCTAATCATTATGTAATGTCAAGCATAGTTTATTTCGTTTTAAAATGACTGTATTTTGTTGCTAAATGTGTTTTAATGGTCAATTTAACATTTATATTTCTACAGTGGTCCCCTTTACAGTTTAAATACTTATGCTATTACATTTTATTGTCTAAAGCACTGTCCTATTTGATGCGATTGCTGTCCTGTAGTGCTGATTTGCATGTCCCTACGAGGCTGTAGGGTGTCCCATTTCTCAAGGAGCACTCACGAGTGCCCTCTATGCGCCCCTACTGTGGCGTTTGGTGAGTACCGCATTGATGCGGACTCTGCAACGGCCTATTACCCAAAAAGAGTGGACAGATTTACAGCTGCCAGACCAACATGGTGGATAAGAAGATACTCTGATGAGCTGAAATGCATTTGTTCATTAATTCACCTAGTCACTGACCTGCATTATGCTAGTAATGTGGACCCCTGACCATCACATCTATATGACCTTGTTGGGACACTTAAGCACTTGGTGGGCCCACTAAGTTTCTCCCATTTTGAGACCAAGCTGTTGTTGCTCCTAGATGCTTCCATTTCAAAATAATAGCAATTACAGTTGACTGGGGCAGAGTTAGCATAGCATCCTAAAACAGTGCCATCTTTAAAGTCACTGAGCTTTTCAGTACATTCCATTCTATGGAGTGCACTGCATAGACCATGAAACTATGGCTACTACTACAGTTGACTCGGGCAGATTTAGCATAGCATCCTAAAACAGTTTGTTTACATATGAAATGAGAGGTTGATTTGAGACACAGCCCTAGTCCCTGTGTGACCTGATGATGTCACTCAATTTTTTTACTGTAGACACTAAAACTCACATAAATTAGGGCTCAATTCGACATTCATGCTGATCAATATGGATGAATCGCAAATCTTCTCACCCCCTATGGAGTGCACTGCATAGACCATGAAACTATGGCTACTATACCCAAATACTGCTCTAAATGTTAGATAGGGACTAATGCAGATAATTGCTGTGCACTATATAGGTGGTAGGGAGCCATTTGAGCTCAAAGCTATGAATTCCTTTAGTCTGTATCACAGACACACGCGGGCTGTGTCCGAATACCGTAATGAAGCTTCCTCTATCTGCGGGCCTGGATTTTGCCTGATCTGGTAATCATGTGTTAGTCCGCTAGTCAAACGCCATGAGCTACAGATCAGGCAAACTCAGTGAAGGCGGATAGGAAAGTAAGTTTTATTGAAGTATCTGGACGCTCTACCTGCTTCCTCTCACGTGCCGTAAAACGTAATTTGTTATCCGCTTGGCCCCGCCCCATGTGCTGATGCCCCTCCCCCTCCTCTCTTTCAGCTGCTGCTGGTCTTCCCGCTGCTCTGAGTGCTAACTACCTGACAAACATCTGCCCAGCAGATTGAGCTGATAAATGCGTGTAAACATAAAAAGCAAAAGACCTCCCAGCATTGCGGACGCTTCAAAAACACGGCGAAACGTCGGATATGTGATTTGTGTTTTGGGTAGAAGGACAGGAAAATAGGACGCAGCTGAATGAAACCGGACCAACAAAGTGAGAAGACGTGGAGGAGGTGCAGCTCCAGCGGCCGACATCCTCCTCTCCTTTAACTCTGTTTCTCCTTCAGGACTTTGAGGAAAATGCGGACGTGGTGGGCTTGTGAAGTTGTCCGAGTCGACTCCAGTAACTCCTGACTTCTCTCTAACGTCTCTAATGGCGGTTTGGGAGCAGTAGTGTGGTTGTGTTTAGCAGCAGCTCCTCTACTCGAGTGTAATATCCTCCTCCCTCGCTGGATCACGAGTTCGCCCTCTGCTTCTTCTTCTTCTATCTGCGGAAACGTTTGGACGGAAGTGAGTACCGTTACATGAAGCTCGAACACGAACCGCCGCCTCCACTCCTGTGTTGTTTTTGTAGCTGTAATAAGGACATTTTTTTGTCCTAAAACGTGCCCGGTTTCCTCCTTATTAACCGCTTTAACATGTCGGTTGGTCGCGGGGGGAGGCCGCTCGAGCGCAGAGCTCAGGCCTGTTTTAAAGGGACTACAGACTAACTGCCTGACTGCCTGTTTTTATTTAGCCTCTCTGTTAACTTTATCCAGGAAAAGATGTGGGCTAAAAATACAAGACTGTGCTGTTACCGTGTTTTCACCGTCATATTAACAACTGAAAGTATGTGTTAAAGGGGAATTTCACTGACTTCTCAAAATTTCTGCCCAGTTTACTCACTGAGCTGTAAATACAGTAATTCAAGTCAGTTTGCTGTGAAATGATTCACTGTAGAGAAACATAACATATACTTAACACATTACATAGTGGTAACAGGAACCAGGGGTCTCGATGTCTACACACTGGTTCTTCAGGGCTTCTTTAGTAAAGGTAATTGTTCTTTTCAGAGACCTGAGTCCTATATAGAACCTTTTTTGCTGCTTGACTGGTTCTGTGCATGGTGACATGGTTCCTCAGATTGATGGAAAATGTGTTGTATATGGTTCTTCTGTTGTTGTGATGTCAGGCTTGCAACAAAAGAAGAACGCTTTTTGGTGCTATATAAGACCACTTTCTATATAGAGGCGTATACAGCACATTCTCCATTAACCTGAAGAACCGTTTCACCATGCAAAGAACTGTTTGAGCATGAAGTGGTTCTATATAGAACTTATTTTGGGTTCCTTAGCTCTAAAATAATGATAAAGCTTGAAAATAAGAAGTATGAGCGACAGCAGAGTAATCCAAGTGCTAAACCAAAAGAAGAGAATGAAATTAAAGACAGTAAGAAAATAGTACCAACGTGTAAATGATTATAATGGAGTGCAGATTCCTTTCCTCAAACACACACTCAAGTATTTGTTCATTTGAATGAATAGTTTGAAAAGAATCAGAAAAAATGCAAATCTGTCAAACTTTGCTCAGATATGTAACTGATTAAATGTGGATAAGCCTGTTGTGAAGTCATGTGCAGTGGTGGCAGTTCCAGGGGAAACAAGCTCTGGTCACACAACAGAATACAACAAATATACATGTAGATTTTTGGAAATCTCTTTTACAAAGGTTTTGAACAGCATGATTCATAGACAAATATCTTGTGCCATTCTACATGTGTAAGCTCTCAGATCATCATGTTGATTTGATAGACAAATATAGTTCTATCTCTGTCATTCACTCTAGTTTTTACAGGCCTGTGGTGCCAGTACATGCATTTGTTATTGTCTTTGTTAATGATTAAATATTTAGAAATGATTGATTTTGGACACCTGGCTGTGTGTGAGCCTGGATCGGTATACTAAATGCATGGGCTGTGTCAAACTGTGTGGGTTAGAAAGGGAAGCAGCATTTCTTATGTGGTTTTCTGTTGTCTGTAATGGTTTATGAAGGTTGTTATGGCAGATATGTATCCGTAAAGTCTGTTTGATCTGAAAAGTTTACCTGGTTGAGGGCAGGAGTAAAGCTATTGCAGTGTGGTTGCGAAAATGCACTGAAGAAATAAAAGCCTACAAATAACTTGTTCTATTCAAAGCTGACAAATGCACCTGTTAGTCATAATCTGTCTGATATGTCTAATATATCTAGGATTTGGTGTAGCCTCTGTGGAAATGAATATGGAGAGATAGATGATCAAAAAGTTAGATGATCTGTTGCTTACTGTGGTAAAACACTGAGATTGTTAGCCCCTGAAAAAGAGAACCAGTGCTGGGTGATATGGCCAAAAGTCTTGTCACTAAACATTTTATCGAAACTTATTGATATTTATAATTTACATCCTAAAGCTCAGTGATGACCCATTTAGTCTAACAAAAGTTGCCAAAGTATAGATCCCTTTTTCTCTTTCGTAAAAATAGTCACGCATGAAAGAATACAAATGTATGACAGGGTTTTACAGATTAAAAAAAAGTTATCCCTGTTTAAATGGGTCACTGTTAGTATTTAAATGAGTATGAAATCTGGACATTGCCACTTTGTGTATGTAGTATAATAATTTGATCAAAAACAAAAATTAGAATGAAAACATGTTTCATTTTTGATCACCCTGACAACAACTTCACCTCTGTTCTCATCTTCAGGCTTGCTTTTACTCATCACCTGTACCACTCATCAACCACATTGTTGTTTGTGCCGTGTTTCCTTTAAGTAGGCGTGCATTTTGGTGACGTGCAGACTGATTGTTGCACTGGCCTAATGCTAATCCTGCATGCTGTCAAAGGCTAAATTGTTGCCTAATTTGGTGTAAAGAATCAAGATCGTTTAATCACCCAGAACTTCTTGTAGTTTTTCTGTTCAAAGAGGCAGCAAAACTGTCCACACGACGACCTTGAAAATGTGGCCAGTCACAGAGAAGTCCTGACAAAACTGTGCTTTACAAGGCTGTTCAGTACATGGTCAGTTGTTGTAGGTATTGCAAGGTGAACATGTGATGTATGTAGTGATAGTGATGGTATATTATAGATTAGTTGGCCTGTAACTCTGTTCTGCTTCTCCATATTGTGTTTTTTTTCAAGCAGTTGTGTCATTGATGGTTGAGCCAGCACTGTCTGTTGCATAAATGTATGCAGGATAATGTATGCAAGTTGGTCAATACTGTGAAGCATCACTTGATCTGTTCACTGTAGGCCTTTTCTTCTTTAGGACAAGAGCAGTTGTCTAGGCAGGACGTGGCAGGATGCCTTTCACTTCTTACGGCCCACTCCTATCAATTTATCGTAATGCCAAGGGCTTGCGGAGACTTGTATGTAATTCCCTATTTCCGTAATCATCTGGTTAGAACTGATCCAGAAAGTATTAAGTTTCGCATTTGAATGTGTGCAAGAAGACAAAAAAAAGTCTCTGCAGTATCAGTTCAGTTTACTGATGTAGGTCCAGGTAACCATCTTGGAAGTATGCTGTCATTTCAGTTTAAAGTGATAATTTGGAGGAAAAGAAAAAACAAATTTACACATTCCCACATCACCCCAAATGTTGTCATTGCTATGCTTGGTGTCCAAAGTTTGCTTCTTTGCACTGGAGCTGGAAGGCTGATGTAGCTAATAAGTAATGGAAGCTCGTACCTTAGCATTGACCAAACTGTACTCCTGAATCATTTCACACTTTCCTCAAGACGCTCTTAAAAATACTATGTAGTTTCTGACACTGTAAACATACTAAAGCATATTATATATATAAACAGTATGTCATATATAAACAGTATGTTATACAGCATCAGAAAACACATAAGCAACTCTAAATCAGAGATTACTTAAAAATAGTGATTTTAGGCCTGGTTTACTCAGTGCTAACTGGTGGCAAATCAGCTTCCATTACTTTTTAGCTACATTAGCGCTGTACTCCAGTGCTAAACTAGCAAAATTTGGACACCAAACGTTTTGGCAAATTTATTATTTTTGGGGAAAGGGGGAAGACTTTTTAGCAAAGGTGTCGCTTGTTTTCGGAATAGTTGTGCCATAAAACATTCATAAAATAAACACTAGAAAAACAGCCATTACAGAGTGTGGAAAAAGCTCTTGCCTGGTTCTTTTGGTCTCTAAGGTTCAAAGTGTGCACAGGCCTACACAAAGTTGCTTTCTCTTATTGTTTGTTTTGTGATGTTTAGACTATACTAAATTTAGACTATACAAGAACAACATAGCCTTCCTACATCTATTTCAGTGATTCTAACCAGAGAAGCTTAAAAACCTTGGACTGGTTTGAATAGATCAGCATTAAGTCGTGGAGGTGTTCTGTGTCAGGCCTTATAAGTATCAAAATAAGTATGCTTCGGGATGCGCAGGAGAATAATAGAGATGGCACCAGTGTGATACTGGGTGTCGGTATCATCAGGAAGTGCTGAATCAGGTATCGCATTGAAAAAAAGAATGAATCTGATTCTATTGTTACAAATCTTTCCTGAAATAGCACATTGTCACATTCTCTGTGTGATGTGATGTTAGCTGTGTGTTTCTTCCTGTGGATTAGAGTGTTTGAGTAGTTTGAGCATGATGGCCTAATTTTAGGGGCCCATATCCTACATTTTTCTTATATTTTAGTTTTTCCCTTGTGGTCCACTTGTATTATTTGTGTGGTTTTATGGTCATAATTTTAGGTTTTATGGTCATAGTTTTTGTTACCTGCCCTTAATACTGATTTATGTAAATGAGCTCTGTTCTGTTTGGCTGCCCTGTTTTGTGCCTCATTCAAAACGCAGGAGTTGAAACTCTCCTTATAACTTTAGTATGAATGGGTGGTGGGGTGTGTATATATAAATTAGTGGGTTCTTGTGACATCAGTGAATTCTTGTAATTCTTGTGAATCAGTAAATGCTGAGGGGTGAGTGGTGCATTTGGAAACTTTCACAGTGTTTACATATAACTCAGTTATGATAAAAAAACCAAAAGGCAAAGGATTTCGGTTGTCCACGATATGGGCCTCTTAAAGATTAGTAAGAAAAAACAGCTTTAAAGCAAAAATAAAGATATCAGTATGAGCCGAAACTCAGTTTCAACATCAGTATCAGAAAAGAAAAAGTGGTGTTGTGCCATCTCTGCTCCATAGCTGTGAAACTGTAGGCCAACATGATACAGTCCTTTATGTCATGTGACAAAGGGTCAGGAGATCAAAATGGATGAGTTTTGTACCATGTGCGCCTGATGTTTTCAGCCAAGCTAGTGTGACTTTCATCTTTCCTTGAGACAAAGGAAATGTCTGCTTCATCTAACAGTGAATAGAAACTTGGAAGGACCTGTAAACTTGATCTCATTTGCCTAATTCTAACTGTCATCTCTCAACTTTACCACCAACATTGCCATTTTGCCTGTAGGGTTCTATTGACAAGTACATGATTTGATATGATCAGCATTTGGTTAGACAATAGCTGGATATATAAGGATATGACATCATTTAGCATTTTTAATTTGAAACACTGTAGTGTTTCCAGGCATGTTTGTACCTTAGTTGTAACTTAACTGGTTTATTCTTCTCTAAATTATGCTCCATCAGTAGCTCATGGATAATTTAAGGACAAAAACAGGTCCTAGATGAACTTTGGCTTTTGTTAGCTAAATCCTGTGCAGGCTGTGCGGAGTTTGCACAAACAAGAGCAGACATCGCCAGCAAGGCTTCCGTTAGAACGGTCAAAGTCCGCTTCCCTGCTCTCAAAATTTAGCTGCTGACCATGCCAGGTAGCCAGTGAAGGAAAGTTCCTCTCAGGCCTGAAACTGCAGCAGCCACAGTTACTTTCCTGTAGAGATTAATGGAAGAAAAATGACTTCATCTGGAACATGTGGTTATTTTATTTTTTTTTTTTATCAGGAGAGAAAGTGAAGAAAAAATATATTTTGTATAAAAAGCTTTGAGTACTTGTTGCATGAGCTTATGGCTTTTTTCGTCAGCTATTTTTAGGAAAGCGATTAAGATTAGATTAAGCTATGAGTGTGAAATTGTTTTGCACTACACACAAATACAAACGCTTTATCAGAAATGGTTCTTCTTGAGTGGATCAGACTCCTGTGTGTTAACGAATAGAAAAACTCAGAACTGAACCATTTCAGCGTGTTCCCTTTCAGTGGAGCTGGGTTGTACTGGTTGTGTTGAACAGGCTAAGTTGTCTTTCACTTTGGGCTGAAGTATTTGGGGGGAAATATCTAATGCGATTTTTCTGACCAATGATGTGACTGTGATTCAAATTAAATTGCGATTAATTTTTTAAATGATAAATTGAGGTCCAGGCCTGTTATTTTAGCCAATGAGATCCACGTTTTCTGGCTTGAAACTTGAACGCTGGGTGCAGTTTGCTGCCAGTTAGTTTTGTGTTGTCATGCACAAATGAATGTTTGGTTGCTTCAGATTGGACAAACTCATCTACAGGAAGTCCACAAGCTTAGTGTTACTAGGTATTTCCCATCTTTAAGACTTTAAGACAACACTGTTGATAATGTAGACAGTAGTAAAAAATGCAGCTCTTGCGATTTGAAAGTTGCACTCTAAGTTGTGATTTCGGACTAAAAAGGGCTGATGTTTAAGCTCTACCTCCACTTGAGATTAGTAGTGGGTTGTATGTTCATCCAGTTTACCAACTGAAATTCTTCCTGAGTTATGAGTTTTGTCATAATGGAGTTGCCACAAACAAACGCAGATAGCGCGACGTACATACAGTGCGATATACTATATTATAGCTGGTCACTTTTCAAATGAAAGTAAAACACAGCAGACCCTTGGTCACCTCCTGCTGTATAGTCTGTTGCCTCTGATGTAGTCCACTTTCTTTTTGAGGCGTCGGACATAAAAGAATGGCTGTACAGGTGCCAGAATGTGATTACTGCTTCAATTAAGGTGGAATGGAAAATACAAACCAAAAGCTGGTTTGAAGAAATTAAGATATGAAGTGTTAAAATGCAATACATTGGTTTATCTAGACATATAGAATTTTTTCATATTCAGTTAGGTTTTTAAAAATGGTTTATTATTAAATGAAGGAACATCCCAGAATAAGATATACCTAAACAGTATGCATCTAAACTTTCAGAAATTTTAATTATACTGTAATTTAAACTTTTGGCCATGCCGCCCACTAGGTTTTGTTATTTCTCATTTCTAAAATCCTCTCAGATGTCTTCCATTGTGTGTGTCAGCATTGTCCACTGAAGGACTCTCTCTCTCTCTCTCTCTCTCTCTCTCTCTCTCTCTCTCTCTCTCTCTCTCTCTCTCTCTCGTTGTCTCTCTCGTTGTCTCTCTCTCTCTCTCTCTCGTTGTCTCTCTCTCGTTGTCTCTGGCTCTCTCTCTGTTCCGGCTGGCTCCAGGCAGTACTAATGACTACAGGTGACAGTACTGGCATTCAGGAGCTGCCAGCCAATGACTGGGGCCATGATGTCATGCTGCGTTCTCAGAATGGCTCCATTGATGGACCCGGCCTTTAGTGGAGCTGGTGGCCCATTGGCTCAATATGTGCCGCTCACAGTGCAAGGATAGGAGGAATTCATCTAATGGCCTTCTGCTGCGTCTCGTTTTGCAGGGGTGAAAGTTTAGCTCATCTGTGATTGTGAAATGTTGTAAGACATTACACAGGAATCTACAGCTAGGCATCTCTTTTTACTTCCTTTTTTGTGTCTGCCTTTAAGGAAACGTTGTGGCATTGAGATCACATAGATCATGGTTGCAAAAAGGCACGTACTTGCTCAGCTCAGACCTGAAAGTGTGCTGCCGTAGCTAGCAAAATGTTGCTAATGTTGCACAATGCAGAATGTCTTTCTTTCTTTCTTTCTTTCTTTCTTTTTGCTCAGCTGTTGTCAGATCTGATATTTCTCAAACCTCAAAGTGTCTTTTTATAGTAACCTGTTAGTTCATGTTTAGGGTTACTGATAGCATTACGGATTAAATTGGGCTAGACAAGTCAGATTCGGAAGAACAAACGTTGTTAAACGTAGCAAACTTCAGGTCCTCTTGTTAAAGAATATTTTGAGTGGTTGACCAATCAAACATCAACCTATACAGAATGATTCAACAGTAGTATAAAATCATCAGCTGTTTCACACGATGCCAACATCCAGTGTTACGCCTGTGTGAACAGTGGAACACCCGGTCAGGAGTGTCCTTATTTGAATATGTCCCAGGGACTCAGGAGAGGCAGGGGACTGTCTACCACTGCACAGTAGATTTGAATGTGAGGTTAGTAGTCTACCCCTTTTAACTACTGCATCTAGGTATGTTTGCAGCCATACAGTGAGTTGTCATGCTCATCCTTTTGGTAATAGCCATTTTGGTGTGGGGGTGGTGGGATTTGGGGAATACACTGGTCAGGTTATTACTGTTGCAGCTCTACACAGTGTTTACCTTTAATGTAGATAGGTGTTTAAGTTCTTCTTACAGAATTATAGTACTGATGACTCAATAGTGTTGATGTTGTAGAACAACAGTACCTTTTGTATTTTCATTAACGTTGGCATTAACTTTGTACTGGGGACTGGTCCAGGCTGGGTTATGTCCAATTGAGTCTAGTTTGAATAGTGTGGTATTTAAGAGAAGCTCTCAACTCTCGAAACTCTCAAAGTGGCTTTTGTATAAAAGCAGGTCTCTGAGGCCCACCAGGCCATTATACTGTGGAATATTTCACCCCAAAAAAGTTAGGTAGTTAAGTGACCCTTATTAGATGATTTGCACATCACTGCATTCTGTTTTTATTTATATTTTGCACATCAGTGTCATTGGCCTTTATGAAGAAAAACAGTCAGGATTCCCTGAACAGCTAGCAGTCAGGCTACAAACACAAACATGAATATGTTTATTTCCAAAATAGGTCTACGAAAATGAATTAATATATAATATTAAGATGATACAGATTTGTTGTGACAAATAGTCACAACAAGTAGTCATTGCTGCTGCATACATTTTACCATACAGTGCATTAATCATATTTTTACGGGTTAGTAGTTCAAGATGGTAGTTTTTGAGCTGTGCTTTGTGTTTTGTAATTGGCGTTTTAGCCAAATGGTCAAGTTACTTACTCTCCATGTGGGAGCCAGGTTCAGGCTTGCTGGTCATGAGAAATTTTGAGTTCTCCTTACCCCGAGACCATGTAAAAATGATGTCGAGACTGTGACAAGGTGGGCTAATAATTCACAGAATACTACAACACTGGTTGCTAATAGTAAATTAAAGCTAGAAGGGAGAGTTAGTCTTCTGTAAATTATTTGCTGTCTGATTTCCATTGGGTTTCATTTGTTATTAAATGCTAATCAGTCCTCCTCTTCTCCTCTGCAGTATGTTGTCCAGACTGAGTGAGTGGTTCTGGAACGAGAGACTATGGTTTCCGGTGGGTTTGGGCTGGGCTGACCTCCAGGATCGGGATGGTCGCACCTACGCCAAAGGATCTGACCTGTGGGCCTCCCTGCCCATTGCGCTTGCCTTCCTCATCGTACGGCAGATCTTCGAGAGGTCTGTGGAGACCAATATATATTTGAATACATTGTTTTACATGGACAACTTCAGATTTAAGTTTGATTTTCTAAAACATAGAGTACAAGCTACTAAATTATATCACCCTTGTGTTTGCACAAGAAAATAAATGCAGCTGATAAATTATTTTTAACATTACCATGGTATTATGTTTGTGTGCTTCATTGAATCGTAGCCTCTTTTTAAGTGTTTTAACACCAAATCACTTCATGGGAAATTTCAAAGAATTTTAAAGAATTACGAATCTACTAAGAACGATTGAATTTCATGTTTTTTTATGTTCGCACACACACACACACACACACACACGCACACATACCTTCTAAGCTGCGTTTCCTTCTGGGTTGTTGGGGGAGCTGGGGCCTATCCCAGCAGTCATTGGGTGGAAAGCAGGATACACCCTGGACAGGTCACCAGTCCATCACAGGGCAGACAGACATATACATTCACACACATGCTCACACCTAGGGCAATTTAGCATGTCCAGCTAGCCTGACTGCATGTCTTTGGACTGTGGAAGGAAACCCACGCAGACATGGGGAGAACATCCACACAGAAAGGACCCTGGTTGCCCAGCCGGGGAATCGAACCCAGGCCCTTCTTGCTGTGAGGCGACAGCGCTACCCACTGCGTATTTTTTATGTTTAAGAAAAGACAACTGATTCAATGATTTTAAGACTTTTTACTGATTGTGGTGAATTGACATTTGTAGGACAGTGGCTGTTTGGCTGGCCTCAGTGATGGGCGTGAAAGAGAAAGTGCGAGTGCGGGCCGCACCCAACCCAACACTGGAGTCTTTCTTTTGCACCACAAGTAAACATCCTGCACAGGTACAGCCCTTATACTTTACTTTGTCTCTAAACTGCACATTTCTGTTATCTGCCTTATCATATGGTAGGTGAAAGATGCGGCAAGGCATTTTAGGTTTGGGGTGCTGAAGCAGAATATGTAGTTATGCTAATTTTGGGCCCTGGTCAAATTATATTACATTTTGTTGATTTTTCTAAGTGAACATGAGTCAACACTTCCTCTACAGCGAGCAAATGTCTGAACATTTTAGTGGAGAATTACTTTTTATCTATTTGTTAAATTAAACATATAAAATGTGGCCTGTGCAAACATTGTTGCACATTTTATGTTTTAGTTTTTCCATTATGTTAAATTAAGCAAACAAATAGAAATGATGTTCTAAACTTTGCAGAAAAATGCCATATTTACTTTTGTTCACTCTGCACAACACATATCGTATGGGATAACGGCCCTTGCGTGCAAGTTGACTCAGTCCCCTCAGTTCTTATTCTCTTCACCTCTCTAAAATCACCTCTGCTAATCTAGCTAGCTGGTTAGCCCAGTCTTTTTTTAAGGGAAAAAAACCCTGTTAACTGTTTCAGTAGGCAAGAATGGCGACAGCTACTTGTTGATATGCCGTGTGCCCACAGAGCACTGTTTGAAGGATTTTGCAGCTTCTTTCAAAGTCTCTAAAATCCACTTTGCAAAGTCTCTGTATGAGACCTGTAACGGCTATCTGAAAAGAAACTTCTCAGCCTGGCAAGAAAACCACCCGTCCTTGTCTCAGAGTGTGGCTTTCCTATTCACGAGAAGGACCAACAGGATGCATGCCCAGTCTCCTTGGGAATCGTCCATGCTAGGTTGGCTTTAGCACATCCTGATGCATGTGTGTTCTGTTGCCACCTCAAGCGGTTGACCCTCCAGCACCATGTGATTTGTTGAGAAAATTGAGGTGTCCCACTTGGACATTGAAGAGTCTGAATCTGAACTGGGCTGAGCTCATGGAGAGCTTGTAAGAAATGTGTGAATTGGAAACACCATCATCAGCTCTCTTAAGCAATTCACATGTCTCTGAGCCTGCAGCTGACTGGTTTTCGAGGCCTGGAAAAAGTCCTGAAAAATAATGAGTATTAGAAAAGTAATCGAATTTCCTGGACTCTCTGCCTCCCCCAGCCCACTGTGCTGCGCGTGGACTAGCTTTCCTAACATTTACAAACATGAACAGAACAGCTGTCTATGTGTTAAATTAGTGCTGGGAGGTACTTATAAAATTCAAGATGATATTTTTACATGTATCACAATATTGTGCTATCAGATCATTATGGTCATAACTTGTCAAGGAAAGCCATATCATGGTATGTTGGTATCACAATATTTTGGCATAGATTATGTATCGCCCGGCACTATGCTTATTGTTTAGCATGAACATTTGTCATGGAAAAATCATGAAATTCCACTGTTTAGAGTGTAGGAACCCTGTTTAAAGTGCTTAGCGAATTGCATGCATTTTTGTTGTTCATCAGTATGCATAAAAATAAGTCAGTGTTGTTGTGTGACACCAGATCCATAATGCTGGTATAGAGGATATTTTACCCAGCATTATAAAGGCCCACACTGGATTTCATGTTGTGAGATACACTCATACACTCTCTTATCTTTCTTTTTATCTGTACAGAATGTGGTGGAGAGTTTAAGTAAACAAACAGGCTATTCAGAGCGGCAGGTCCAGAGATGGTTCCGGAGACGGCGGAACCAGGATCGTCCCAACCAGCTCAAGAAGTTCAGAGAGGCCAGGTACACACACACACGCGCACACACACATACACATATATATATATATACACACACAAACCCTCAAACTAGATGATGCCCAGGCATGAGACTGCCTCATGTCCTGAATTACACACATTCCTCTCTCAGCTCTGTTTCCAAGTGCATATTGCACCCTAGCCTAGCGAGTCATTAGGTTACTAATAATGTAGAGATTGCACTGAAAACACCCTGTACATGTAAGCAAACTCGACTCAGCCTCTGCCCTAAATACAACTTTTATAATTTTTTTTTCCCTGTATACAAGCATGATTTTACTTCTGGCATCATGTAACTTGTGTAACCTGTCTGTACAAATTCATGTGAGAATGATATTAATGAATGAGCATTTGAATGTACCTACTACTAATTACCTTGAATATATTGTATGGTTAAATGCACTCTTATGCAACTGGGTGAAAATAACACATCCTCTATAGGCAACAATAAATATGGAATTTTATTTTTAATTTTAGTGCACAATTTTGACATTTTATAAAATGTACCATAACTTTTGCATTTTATGTTTTTTCCCACAAAATGTTGCGTTCAGTAAATAAAAGTAATAGTGCTTTAAAATGTGCAGAAGTGTGTGTTTAGGATGTGTTTACTTATTTTCACTTTGAAAATCAGCAAAATGTCATTTGACCAGGGGTGCCCAGACTTTTGCATGCAACTGTATATAGGGCATGAAACAATACATTAACAGATGTATTGATGAGTGTCTTTAGAGAGAGATTTTCTATACAGGAAAAACCATGAAAAGAATTTACACTACCAGTAAAAAGTTTAGAGCCACTCGATTGAATATTTCTTTCATAATCTTAAAGACATTTTGACATATTTTTGTATTTTTTTTTAAATTATTTTCCATTTAAAGAAAAGCCAAACAACCCCCCATTCCAATCTCGACCCACACCCACATGGAACTTATCAACAGAAACTGATCATGCTTGCACTACAGGGCACATGAAAATTGGGTTGCATCATACATATGAAGACTTCTAGGGGCTGCATTGCTAATTCTTGCTGATGGTAGTTCCAGATAGAGGATGTCCAATAAGGTGTGAAGCCAGTTATGTAAGGACAGATTATGAGGGGGTTGGACGATGACTTTTTTTTTTGCTGCAGTTAAGCCAGCAAGTCACATTTTCCATGATGGAGACACTTTCTGTGATGGAGAATCTTGAGTCATCATTAAGCAAATGAAGTTCAGGGTCCATGGAGAGGTGTATCTTAGTCAAAGAAGAGATTTAACTACCTCCTCCCAAAAGATATACACTTGGGCAGTTGCAGGCAGTCCCACATAATATGTATAAAAGTCCCCAGAGTCCCATATGGACAATAAGTATAGAAGAGGTGAGCAGTTCAACCTATTAAATGTCTTACCCTGGGTGTCACATAAGCTTTGTAGAAGATTTTTCAGATGGATGAATTGATGATCGAGGTTATATGATGCCCCAAAAACATTAGCTCATGCTGTTTCCCAGTTTACCTGCCTTTCCCTCTGTTCCATAACTCTATCGCATTCCTGTTGCCCAGGGATATTTACCAATACATGTGACATAAAAAGATACTATTCCTTTAGGAGCCTTTGTAATTCAGCTAATTATTTGTTAATATTATATATTATTAAATATTATTATATGTGGTCTTTTAGATCTGAAACCAATGTAACATTGTGTGATTTCTGATTTTCTTCAAATGTCTGTTTTATCTCGCATTGCCAAAAATGTTCATGTCAATTGCAGTTACCTTAGCACTAACATACTATTAGAATTCCTTAGGAATGCTAGCAGAAATTAACATTTATTGTAGAGTTTTGACAGTTATGGTCCAAACTGAAGGCCTAACTGTAATAGTTTGCCACTGCCAAAGATCCTTTTTTTTCTTAATATGGTCACTGCATAATTCAGATGTGCTGTTTCACAGTCTGATGTCTTTACTTTTATCCTAAAATGAGTAAAAGAATAGGCTGAAAATAAAGAAAATTGTTCTGTTAGTAGGCATGTCAAAAGTCTTTTTGGAAGTACATAAGTGAATAAGTGACATTTAAGAGAATCCTTGCAGGCTGTTTTTGATCTGCTACGTTGTGACTGTAGAGCACTGTAGAGGTGACTGACTGCGTTCTCTTACAGTTGGAGATTTACGTTTTACCTTCTTGCTTTCCTTGCTGGCCTGGGCGCCCTCATTGACGTGAGTACTCTCAGCTGAGGTGTAGTGAGAAACGTTGAGCTGTATGTATGTTTGGATATGAAGCTGTCAGTGTAATTGTGTGTGTCTGTGTGTACAGAAACCCTGGCTCTACAAAATGGAGGAGATGTGGAAGGGCTTCCCAGGACTGGTGGGTTTACATCAATGCATTCCAGTCCTAAATTTGCACTCCAACAGGGACACCTGTTTTTGATCGAGAGCAGTGCTTCTTAAGTCAGTCCTCAGAGCCCTCTGATGGTCCCAGAAGGTCCAGTACCCCCATTCCAAGCTCTAGCTCATTGACGGTGCCATCATAGAGTTATCTGTAATGTCATAGAAAAGATCAATGTCTCTTGTATGTGCAGGTTAGTGATAGCTGTAGAGAAAGCTAACAAAAAAGGACAAGGTTCCTGTAAGACACAGTCGTCTTTTGTTAAATGGAAGTAATGGCCGAGGGGACGAAAGGTTACTAACATTTCTCATTAGAAGAAAACAGGAAAAAAAAATTACGAGACAAATAGAACAAGCCATCTGTATCTTAAAACTGCAGATGGCTTGTTTTTGGGCATTTAAATGATGGATGATACTACTGTCAGTCAGCTTAAGTCTATGCACTGAGGACCGGTTTAAGAACTACTGGTCTAGAGGGCTGATTTATATGACCCTAGCACTCAGGAGTGAATAATCCATTATTCCAGCTAATTGGCTAGACATGTGTTCAGAGCTGTTTCCTAATCCCAGTACTAGAACAGCCCTGCTCTACAGTGACTGGTGTTTTTCTGCTCACCCATTTATTACTTTTATTCTTCTCCTGAGGGTGGTAATAATTAGCTGAGTGTCTTGGATCAGACGGGACTCTGAGCAGGGTCATTCTGGGAATGAAATAGGAAACGATGTCCTCCGGTTTGACTGACATGATTGGAACTCTTGGCGATTTTAGCGCCTAATATGATGAGATCAGTATCTAATTCTCTCTCTCTCTCTCTCTCTCTCTCTCTCTCTCTCTCTCTCTCTCTCTCTCTCTCTTTCTCTTTCTCTTTCTCTTTCTCTTTCTCTTTCAGACTCTGCTGCCCTCTCAGTACTGGTACTATATGATTGAACTGGGTTTCTACATTTCACTTCTTTTTAGTGTGGCATCTGACGTGAAGCGAAAAGTAAGTGGCTCCAACAACTGTTTATTTTGAATTCATTTTCAGTTCCTGTTTTGTTACTTTGAGCATCATTTGGAGAGTACAGATGTTTAAGTGTTGTATTACAGGTGACGGGCCCTCTATTATTCTGCAGGTGCCAACAAGTCTGATATACACAAAAGGCAAATCTCAAATCTGTGTCACATATGAAAAAAAGTTTGGATTTGGGCGCTTTTACCTGCAGTGTAAATGTAGCCTTACTGACTCTTATTTCTTTACAGTGGTGGTGACAGGAACCAGGAGACACATGTCAGCAACACAACTATAGCCCTTTTATTTACTATCCAAATCCACCAGCGCACCTACACGTTTTCTATGTTTTAGATGTAATGTTGATGCTAAAATAGTGGTCTAAAAGTTTTCTTTGGGTACTATTTTGCTTTACAATGCCCTGCATGTACCTCTCCACCAGGAATGTGTTTAAAATAAAAATACCATTTAGGCCAAAATCTTCTTAAAACTGTTATAAAACAATTCTCAGATATCAGGCAATGTATTCATACCCTTTCCATGTAATAACCGTCTCTGAGAGAGCTTTTAGAAGATTTAAGTACTTCAGATGTCTAGTTCCTCTCATCACAGCTATGAGCAATTCTGATTCAGTAAATTTCTCTAGAATGGAGCATTTAACATCAAACCATTCTGAATGTTTACATCTTACTAATTTAATTGTGCAGAAATTTGGAAAAGTCAGTGGAAATCTGTCTTAAGACATGGGTCAGAGTGTATCACCTTGTGACTATTCCATTCATCCTGTGATGATTTTTGTCAGTCAGTAGGTTAAACTCCCTCCGCTGTTAAAGTGGACGGCTCTTCAAATGCATCTTGTTCTCTGGGCCTTTTGCTTTAAGACATTTTAGCTGCTGATCTTTTAACCTGTTACAAATGAAAGACTTTTTCATTTTTGCACACAATTTACAAATAATTTGATTGCGGTGGTAGTAGGAGCCTCCAAGTAACATGTTGCTTAGGGCTCCTGAGTGTTAAGAAACAACCCTGCTTTTTCTGTTGCATTTTAGTATTTTGAATCAAAAAGTGGGAGCTAATAAAAATAGCTGTTCTTATTTAACTGGATTCTGTCTTATACCACCCAAGGGGATGACTAGAAACAATACAGTATTTGGTTATGAATTCAGATTGACTCTGGTGGCAAACAGATTATCAACAACTTAATTTTGAACTGTGTTTCCTGTTATTGATGTGATTTGCAACTATTAAATCAATCTTGTTTTTATTGCTCATTGTATCTTATATCTGCTGTGATTATGGACTAGCAGGTGTGATAAGAACAGTATTAAGGGTCCCACTGGATTTGGATTGTACTCACTCCAGAGAACTCACAACTCGATGCTGGGGGTCTTTATAGTCCTCCTGCTGATATTTGGTATTGGGCATGGTGACTTTAGACTCATGTGCAGTTGCTCCAGAGCATCAAATTCTGTTAGCAATGCTTTTCTTTGCTATCAAACAACTGTATCCTCCTCTGAATCTCTGGAGTTTCAAAACTTTCCTCCCAGTGTTCTGACTGTTTAACAAAAGTATAAATGAGTCTTGAGGTCAAGAGCAGATAAAGGTCCAGATTTAGAGTGGTTAATGTTTGACTTCTGTAAACCACAGTCACGTTTCCCCTACCACATTTTCCAATCACACCAGGACAGGGATTAAGATTTTTCAAACACACGGCACTAGTTGTATTAGTTGTTATTTGTTTTTTAACCTTTGCCTGTGCTGTTAAAAAAAAACTACTCATGGAGGTTTTTTTTTAAATTGGAAAATTACCTTTGGCAGCATGAATGATAGGTCTCAGCTGTCTGCAAAACTGCTCATTAATGTTATGTAATGCTATTTTACCATTTACTCGCCAAAAAAATGGAAAACTCGCATCTAATCAAAAGTGCAGAAACAGCTGCAGGATTTTGATTCAGTGGTGAGTCTTTTTCACCTGACTGATTCTGATTGCTTTGCTGTTGCACTAAACGTACTTCCCAAGATAGCCGAAAAGCACATTCTTTTCACTGTATTGCTAATCTGACTGTTCTGTTTCTAGCACATAACCAGCCTTATCATCCAGTGTGGGATTAGTGTTCAAATAAACAATTAAGCCTTTAAACAATTTGGAAAACATCTCCTGATATGTTCAGAAGAAAAGACTGTAATACTGTTTTCTAAAAAAACAACAGTTAAAACAAGAATGACATTGTACAGGAAAAAATATATTCCTCCTTAGCCTATACTCATCATTTTGTGTGTGTGTGTGTGTGTGTGTGTGTGTGTGTGTGTGTGCGCGCGCAATGACTTATTTTGAAATAATGGCTTAGCTTTTTTCTCAGAATTCTAACTTACCATCTCAACTTTTTTTTATTCTTTCACAATTTTGACTTGCTGTGTTTAAATAATGGCTTGAATTTTAGACTTTTCATGTCAAAATAATAACTTTCTTTGTATCTCAAAATAATGACCTATAGTGTCAAATTAATGACTTACTGTACCAAAAGAATTACTTACTATGTTGAAACTTATTTAACATAGTTAACGTAAAATCTCAAGAAAGTAAGTCAATATTTCAAGGTACTATGTGAAAATTGACACAGTGCTGTCAAAATGGACTTGACTGGAATGAGCTTTCACAGTATATTATTAAACAAAATACAGAGTTGGGGTTAAAATAAATAAATAAATAAAAACCCTCATTGCCTTTTCTCTTTGACTCATCTCATTACCTTCTGATGTGTCTCTCTCTCCCTCTCTCCCTCTCTCTCTCTCTCTCTCTCTCTCTCTCAGGACTTTAAGGAGCAGATTGTTCACCATTTGGCCACTATCCTCTTGATCAGTTTCTCCTGGTGTGTGAACTACATTCGAGCTGGAACTCTGATCATGCTGGTGCACGACACCTCCGACTCACTGCTAGAGGTTTGCAAATAACATTCACACGTTAACGGAGACAAAATATTTATGTGCTCACTTATTATTATTCACTTATCATTATTATCTCACAGATTCTCAGTGACATTCTGGCTCCAGTCACATCCCACAACACTGTTAGTTTCCATATCCACACTTAACAGAAGGTCTTAATATGACTAGAAGACGACATTCATAGTGTCAAGAACTTGAACAGTTCAATGCAATTTAACAAAACCACATACAAAGATGTTCATAATGCTCTGATAGCAAATCTGTCTGAATCAAGGTGCACATACTATATATAATAATGAATTGACAGTTTTCTTTTCCAAACTATTGTTAAAAGCATGTTTTAGCATGAGTGTTGGTGAGTGTTGGTGAGTGTTGACATGAAAGGATAAAATGTGTAGGGATTTACGTTATTCCCAAGCTAGTGCTGTAACCCCACAATTAACTGTGTGGGACCTTTTTTGCCACAAAATGAACTTTATTTCATTAATTGCTTTGTCATAATGAGTTACCAACCAACGGAGAAAATGTGCTCATTTGTATTAAAACATGCTGAAAGCTGGATGTCCCCAAACCGCCGACAGGCAGTGTATGTGCTGTAATGATAACAATCGGTCTATACACACAGACATCAGTACATAACTAAGTGCAAAACTCTTAGTTCAGTGCAGTTTACAGTGTTAAGATCCATCACAAGCTGTGTAAAATGAGATGTTGCTTACAAACTTTTTGATTTTTATTTATCTGGATGGTAAATGGGAAGTTTGGAGCTGCTTAAAACGTCCCTCAGGATTCCTGTATACTTCCGTTTCTAACTTCTTCACTAAATAAAGTAAGGTGTTCACAGACACTGTCTAATGCTCACACCTGGTGGAGCCTCAGAGCAACAACACTATAAACCTTTTACTCTCTTATTTTTTTCTCTCACTCTCTTTTCCTCTCTTGTTTTCTCTTTATTTCTCACAATAATTTTGTCTCTTCCTCTTTTTCTTTCTTTCTCTCTTTGTTTTTCTTTTTCACCCTCTCACCCTCTCACCCTCTCACTCTATCTATCTATCTATCTATCTATCTATCTATCTATCTCTTTCTGTGTTACAGTCAGCAAAAATGTTTAACTACGCCGGCTGGAGAAAGACATGTAACTACATCTTCATCGTTTTTGCTGCTGTCTTCTTCATCACAAGACTTGTGATCTTCCCGTTCTGGTGAGCAGTACAGTTCAGCTGAACTTCAGCTTATTAACAGACCCCTTGCTTTTTTTTCCCACAGATGTTTTGAAAGAATCAGAATTAATGGGACAAATCTATAATTAATTTGACTGCACTTTTAACTCATTTAATTAATTTGAAATCTAATCTCTGCTTTGTGCTCTCTCTTTCTCTCACTCTTTTAGGATCATGCATTGTACGTGGGTGTATCCAGTGACCATCTATCCACCATTCTTTGGTTATTATTTTTTTAATGGGCTTCTGCTGGTGCTCCAGTGTCTGCACATCTTCTGGTTCGTGCTTATTCTGCGCATGGCCATCAAGTTCCTCCCTGGCAATGTAAGACAGCCTCTCTCTCTTTCTGCTGATGAGCTGAAATTCAGCTCATGTTCAGGTTTACTGACTTGATTTTTACAGAAATGCTTCAGAGACATATTAAGGAGATAATTTAAATGAGCTTGTGAACTGGATTTACCACTTGAAAGGATAAGTTGGGAACTTGAGTATCTGTGCACATTGCTAATCCAGAGCAGAGCCAGTCTGAAGCACTTCAACAGCTATTACCGTTTACTTTGCTAGATAGCTAATGTGTTCTGAAAATAGTTCTTTAGTCATGTCTTATCGTAAACATAGCACTTGTATTTAATTCCTGTTTACTCATAATTTCAATGTCGTCACTGGAATAAGAAACCTTTACGTGCTCAACCTCAAGGTTTATTTCTCAGACACTAACATAACACCATCATTCAGTGAAATGACTCAAAGCGTTCTGTAAAGACGGCACTTTAAACTTAGATCCAGGTTTTCTCTGTTAAGTGAGCGTGGAGCGAGAAATAGAAAACCTGGAGTGGAGTTGGAGGGGCATTATTACAGAATGTTTTGAGCGAGGAGCGGAAATGTTTGCATCTGATTTATTCCTGTGAATGTATGGACAAGACACAGCACGCTTCTTTAACAAAAGTTTTAACACCGTTTTCTGTATCATCTGTATCATACACAAAAATACAGCCATGCTTATGCCCCATAGATTTAGGTGGCTTTAAGTATGGCGCTGTAACTTGTATTATGTGAAGAAGTCTGTTGTAAGATGTTTTGGAAGTTAGTGTGCTGGCATACTTTGGCATACTTTATAAAATGTCTTGGAATTTGGCATACCTAGAGCCTGTATCAGCAGGGCATGGGTATAGCTGAGGAGGCCAGGCTTAAAGCCATATCGGGTTTTGCAAGGTCTCATGAATTTATTAGAAGTTTTTACATGAATTTTTTCAAGAAAATCCATGACATGAACTGGGGGAGCTAGGTGAGTTGGTATGGAATGACACTAAAGTAGGTTTCATAGTTTTGATCCTGTTTCTCATCTGTCTCTGTCAACAACAGTCTCTGTAGCACAGTGACAGCATGAATCGCTCCCGAGGCTAAAGCAAGCAGGGAGCTGACTTGTGGAGTTTTATGTCTTGTTGGAGTTGCACTGTGAAGTGCGCTGTGCAGACTAGAGGAATGCTTTTCAGTCGTATTGCATGTTGCTCCATGAATGACAATGAAAAGGAGCGTGCTTGAGAGAGTTTGAACAGACGTCATCAGAACATCCAGGTAGCCAGCACTAATTCAGCTAAGACAACCTCAGTCTGATATTACTGCCTTCTCTTGACGAAACTTTCATATTAGGTATTATTTGTACCAGTTGAGCAAAGATTTGACATTTTACTGCTAATTTCTCATCTCATTTTTCTTCTAAGCAGATTTAAATGCACCATTTATTTGCATTCTCCACCAATAATGATCATGTTGAAAAGAGTTAGAGGACTTTCAGTTTGTTTTCAGTGGCACATTAAACTAATGCATCCTCTGTATTTTGGGTGGATCAAGAACAAATCAAAGTATTCTCAACGGTTCTTAGTATTTGAATATTGGAAAGCAGCTTGGCTAGTGGAAGATGTGAAGACAGTGTGTTGTCTTTTAGCTTATCTGCTTAAATAGATATAATAAGTGTGTGTGTGTGTGTGTGTGTGTGTGTGTGTGTGTTTTAAGATTAGTTTATTAGTGAAAACTAGATTATTAGTGAAAACACCTAACATACTGGATGCATCCGCTGTCATTTAAAACAGCACTAACTGCCTTTCTTTTGTCATTCAGCATATTGTGGAGGACGAGAGGAGTGACCGAGAAGAGACGGACGATTCAGAGGAGGAGGATGAGGCCATGCAGGAGAAAGAGAGAAGGGCCAAAACAAAAAATGGACCACTGCAGAATGGCCACTCTCCGTCCAACAACAACCACCGCAAGACGGAGTAATGGAGCAGAGAGGAGGAGGGAGGGTGAAGAGGTGGAAACGTGGTGATGTCCTCCCTAGCTGCCTGTGGCGCACACTCATACCACCTGGGCGAGAGCAGTAGACTGAGGCAGGGTGGGGGGACACTCAAGTTAAAGAACTGGCCTACAAACACACACACACACACACTCACACACACACACGCACACATTTTACCAAGTGTTAAAAGCTGATTTATCTTACACTCAAACACTAATCCTAATAGTCCCAGCAAACAAACTTGAATAACCATAAATCCAGAAGTCTTTTTGGTCTATGCACTAAAATGCACTAAATTCTAAAGAAGAAACAAGGGGATCTTGAAGCAGTGAATAAAACCTGGACTTGTTCTTGTTAGAAATTCTCCACTGTCCAGTGTATGACCTGCTTAGTGCCTTGTTAAAGGGGAATTCTGACAGTTTTTTGAAATTACAACGTAATTCAATGGTTGAGATGTAAAGTCATTCAGAGTGGTTTGATGTGAAACAGTTCATTGTAGAGTAACTTGCTAACTCAGATTTCTTTAGAGTGGTGCTGATAAGAACCAGGGGTCATGATATAGTCAAATACAGTCATTTTATTTACTGTCCAAAATGAACAGTGAGGCTTCTGAGTTTTGATAGGTAATATTGATGTGTGATATGTCATATTGAACATAGAAAAAATTAACTTCTTTGGGCGTTTGCTTAGAATACCATGCATGAACCTCTGGATTTAAATAAAAATATATATTTTAGGCCAAACTCTTGTTGCAGAAGTATCAAAAAACAAAAAAAAAACAGTTATGACTTCTGTCTTATGAATCTTTCTTTAGAACAGAGCATTTCACATAAAACCACTCAATGACTTCGGGTACATCTGACCGATTTAAAAATTGGTGGAATTCCACTTTAAAAGAATACTTCAGTGTTTTTAGCAGGATCTCCATCTACCATGTCTGCAGCATACATTTAATTCCCACAGACAATAATGTAGTTTCCCTTTATAGAGTAAAAGGAAAACACTTGAAGCAGCTGCCCATTGGCTTCTATTATAACTTTGTTTTTGTTTTCTGTGGTTAAAGGCTACAGACGCGGCAGATAAATATTAGCTTACAAAATGCTGAAGTATTTCTTCGATATTGAACCCTCACTCGCCCCACACACACACACTTTTTAGTTCTAGCCTGATTCCCCTTCCTTCTCATCACATCAGGTCACTGTGCGACCCTAGTCACTCTTCCTTACTTGTTCATACAGATCCCATGTAGGGGTGAATATCCCTGCTAACATTAAAAGACTGCAGGTCTTAACAGGTAACTTTGTGGAATTACCTGAAGTGTTGCAAGTGCACCACCCACAAACTATTGGCTAAATTTCCATTTTATTCCGCGTACAGCATCCCCTTTTCACCAAGTGGCCTTTAGCTGAATCTCCCTAAACATTCCTAGTGTACGTATGTATGCATGCACACTCGCCTAGCCGAGAGCCCTCCTCACTCGACCTGTCCTTATTTCACTTGCACTATTATATGTACTATATTGCCTAATCTTGCTATACACTACCGCTGCCCTAAAGATTATCTTGTAGAAGCTGGTTCTCGAGGACCACAGCAATGCACGGTTGAGAGTTTTCCCAGTTAGAACACATCTGACTCATCTTAGTCATTGACCTGTTCATGCTCTGCTTGCAAGTGCAGCCCTTTGTAGCAAGCCCTTGCTAGGTTGGACAAGTTTGTGTCAAAATATGTTATTCAATCTTTGTTTAGCGTCTACATAATAATATTGAGGTCCTGGGTTTGTGCTGAACTTTGCTCTTATAGCTAATAGGCAGGTTGGAAATGATGATGAATTTGCCACCAATTTGCTTGTTTGCGTCAAACAAAAACCTATATTTTTTTTGGTATTTAAATGAGGTTTTTACTAACATTCTATAAAACTTGTTCGACATCGTAACAGTAGCTACAAATAAATATGTGTGGGCGGAGCATGAACAGGTCAACCACATGATGACTTGAGTGTGGTAAATCAGGGAAAACACTAAACTTGTGCATGACTAGGACCCTCCAGGACTGCTGGGATTGGTTCAGCGGAACCATTTGTGCTGCCATGACGTCCCACTGTGGGAGCGACCAGTAGCTAAACCGCCAAATGTTTAAATGTCCTGCCTTTTTGTGTGTCAACTGTCTTTTTTTTCTGCTGCATTATAATGGGAACTAAAATGTAATCCAGCCATAGATGCTGTTCTTGCTTAAATCAGCACGTCGGAGTTGTACGACTCGTCAAGATTTGCTCTAAAAAAAAAAAAAACAACAACTGCTACATATCAAGGAGAGAAATTATTTTAAAAATAAGTAATTTACCGTTTGTTTGTGCTTATTTCTTTTGATCCATTTGTTTTGCTTCTCTAAAACAAAGGAGAACATTGAGATTATTCACTTTAATTTTTTATTGTATTTTTGTTTTATCTTTGTTTTTTTATTGCCTTTCCTTTCAATTTTTTTATTTGAGGCCTAAAATTATTCAGTTGACTTATGCCATAAGCCAATAATACAACAAATATAGTTTCTTTTTCAGTTGGAATTGCTTGTACACATTTCTTGTGGACTGATATTACCCATTCTACACTTCAGTAACATGGGCCTGCTGGGAAGAAGGATAAAAATCACCACCAGGTGGAGGTAGGCCTGTTCTAAAGTCATGTCTATAACAAGTTGAACAGAAGTCCTCCCCACCACACCTTCATCTCTGAACAGAAAAGTCTGATCTACTAAAAAGAAGCTGGCTTTTCAGAGTAACAGACAAACCAGTGTGTTATCTTCCATATGTTAAGTGTATGTCAGTATTTGTTGACCATCAGATGCACTTTATAAAATATTCAGAGTCAGACTGCTTGAACAGACAGTTCATCACATAACTCATCTATAAGACAGCAGTGCTCCAACATGACTGAAATAGCTTATGCTTTATAGGTTTTACGGGTAATAGCATCCATGTAGAAAGAGGCCATATTCTTAAGTGTTTCCTGTTCATTATTCAACTAACTCAACATTTATACTGTATCACGACCCGAATGCTTATGTCCAAAGTGTTAGAACTGAAGAGGAGAACACTACCTGAGACCAGGAATATAATTATTGTTGAGGTCATACGGTTTACATGTTCAGGTCCTTGTTGTTTATTTTGTTGTATTGCAGCTAATGAAAGATCCAGTCATTATGTTTATCTATAGTGTCCATTCAGTTTCTTGTTTTGTTGTGTTATATATATGTCACCCATGTAAGCGCCTTGTCTTATGTTTGTTCTATCTTCTTGTCTGCTTATTCACATTCTTCTCTTGCTCTACAAGCACTGCTCCTCAACCCTGATACAAGCTAGAGGTGGGTAATATGGCGAATATCTAAAATCATGGTATTTAAAGACAGTTACAAGTAAATGTACCCTTACTAAGGTTTAATATACTCCATTAATGCAGCATTTTAAAAAGCGATCAAAGACTGTTAGTACATGGTAGTATGAGTTATGCTTTCTAGGACTCGCAGCATCACCAGGAACTCACAATCTTCCACAAATAGGCCCAGGAGCTTCCAGTCAGTCAGTCTAGAGGAACTGATGTTGCTCACTATATGCTCAGAAAAGCTTATCATGATGTCATTTATCCTAGTAATGTTATTGTACTCTCATGTCGCCCACCCTTAGTTCAGACCATCCTGAATCTTGCGACCCGTTCCGCTTTGCAGAGCCAGTCTGCCTTCCCTCCAAAGGAAAACCATTACTGCGAATGGGATTAGCATCAATGTCAGTGTAGAGCTTCAGCTGCCTTGTAGCTCATAAGCTTACACTGATTGCTCTGATTTTGCTGGGCTGAGTCCAGGAAGCGAAACCTAGCAACTTTTGGGGTGGTTTTTACATCAGCTATCACAAGCCTCTTCATGAGGAGCTCCTCATTTTTTTTCTTTCCCCCAACCTTTTTCTGTTTGTCTCTCCTCTTTATCCTATAACCATCACTCTTTCCAGGCTAGATGCCAAGACCAATTCAGCCAAATAGCTCTCACCATGTATTGCCTTCAGTGGTCCCAAACACACACAGAAACATGAGTGTCCCAACTGCCAGTGTTTTTATGTTGTATTTTGTATTGCCTTTATGCAATGTAAGATAAAAGACTCTTGTGGATAACCAAGTTCATGGCCTTGTTTTATTATTGTTTTTCTTTCCTTATCGGTTGGAAAAGAGTGGAATTCCATGCAGCAACTAAACCTGTATTGTCTCCTTGTCTCCCATTATCAGCCTCTTAATGCATTCAGTGGTTTCTCAGATGTTCAGAGGTTTCTCTGTTTAGAACATTCTAGGACTCCGTAAGTGCTTGGACTCTTGAAAGAAGAATGCTCATTCAGATCTGCAGACCAATACAGGGATCCTAGAAACCTAATCTAATAGATCTAATCTAATAGAAGTCTAACAGATTCTGTATGTAGGTAACTATACTGCTAAATCTTACTAACAGAAAACCAGCATCATATATTCAAGAAATGCCCTGCACAAGTAACCTGAACTACATTAGTCAACAGTTAACAGACCTTCATTTGAAATACAAGATTAAAACTGAATTCCATTGATTCTTTCTGCAAAATTAAGTGGTTAAGATGTAGACAAAGTCATTCATAGTGGTTTGATGAGAAATGCTCTGCTCTAGAGAAAGTCAGAATTTGTCATGGTGGTGACTTGTGAACAGCTTAAGGCCTCTTAAAAACTTCCTCACAGAAAGATGTTACACAACGCCCACAAATACGATGCCTGCAACACTGTTTTACGATAGTTTTGAGAAAAGGTTTTGGCCTAAAATGTTTTTAAAAGGCCATTCATTGTGGAGAGGAACATGCAGGGTGTTGTGTGGCAAAGCACCACGGTAAAGAAGTCTAAGTCAGTAAGTTTCTCTACGGTGAATCATTTCTTATTAAACCACTCTGAATGACTTTGTTTACATCTGAATTATGCAGAAATTTTGCTTCACCTTTACAGAAACATTCACAAAGGATGAATGTGTAATGAGGGAGTCAAGCCTGGGGCAGTGTCAACACTTTAAGCCCATTTTAAAAGTGTTTGAAATTGTATTACATGTGTTTTACTGACACAGCTGAGAAACTATGAAAAATTATTTACTGTATTGGAATACTTTTTATTTATACTGCCTTTGGGGTGTTAAAGGGCCCTGCTACAAAAACTAGCATGGCTGGCCACCAGCAAAACCAGCATATGTTGTGTTTTGGATGCTGGTACGCCAGCATGGTGGCCAGCTAAATCAGCACCAGACTAGCATGGAATCCGTGCTGATTTATGATGTATTTTTCAACGGGGGTGGTCGAAGCCTTCATTACCTGGTTCCGAAAATGACTATTAAAGGAAAATGTATGTGTTTAGCCTACCAGTGATAGATTCTCCATGCACATTGTCAAGTGGTCAAATTCCAACATCCAACATAAATTATGTGCACTCTAACACTCTAACCAGCTGCAAACTCCAGCCAGCAAATCTAGCTAACCTTTGTAAATGATACCAAGGTCACTGTATATTCAATTACGTATATCTGGAACAAATGAGCCACTGATGTCTGGAGTCACAGCCGTCCATCAACAAGGTGGCATAAAAGAGAAGTGTTGAAATACTTTAAATACAGCATGTCTTGGGAATCAAAGGATATTTCCATTACATCCTCGAAACTTTACGTTTTCTGTGTAATGCAGGTTAGAGCGGTGTGGTACAGTATGGTAACCTATAGCTTTGTCTCGAGTTCCCAACATGATAAAGTTACATTGTATTTGAGTGGAGTGAGTCTGATTGGTGGCATCCGCCATGGAAAAACCCTTCACTCAGCATAAATCCCAGCTGTCACACCTCGGTGGTTACTTGATTCACTGGAAGAAAATGACTCTTGCATTTGAACAATGCTTCCCGTTCTCCAAAAACAGGATGCTGGTTATGGGTGGGACATAAACAGTGATACTGTCACCTGGAAATTACAGCCACTTAATGTGTCCTGCTGCTTACTGAGTGGGAGTTTCAAGGAGCTATCGTGAAGAAAAGGGACTAAGATGAACAGCATTTTCAAATTACAATTTTTTTCCCTCAGAACATTATGTCAAGTGGTGTTTTATTTTTTTTATTTAGCAGAATTTTATTGTCCTGGGGAATAATCTTAGGCTTCACTATGGTCCACAAATACAGTACACTCTCAGAAATAAAGGAACAAAACTGTCACTGAGTACCACTCTTGTCACTGGGGTGGTACCCTCAAGGGTACATCTCAGTACCTTTAGTCAGGGAACATCATTGAACCATAATTAAAATTATATTTTCTAAGTTGTATTAACTATATTAATTATATTTTCTAAGTTGTATTAACTCCATACATCCCGTCTCGTCTCCAGTCTTTTATTTCTTTGATCAGTTTTAAAACATTAGGTTATGAAAAGATACAAATATGTACTTTTCATCTGGGAAAAATGTATTTAAGGTACACAATTGGACCTTAAAACCACTGTTGTACATTTGAAGGTACATTTACATTGTTTGTACCTTGATGAATGAAAAATGTACCTGCACAGTACCTTTTATTTCTAACAGTGTACAAATACTCAACTTGTTCAGCCAGTTATACTAGGTATACGTTAATATACACCAAACATAAATAATAACAGATAAGAGGAAATAAATCATTGCAATTGCAAAAGATCTGCTGTAGAGGAGGGCAGTGTTGGTGCCGTATATCCCAGGCCTATTATTCATTGGCATAACTCAACTAGCAGCAATGAAATCTAAACATTATCCCTAAAAAACAGACCCTTTCAATGTCAGAAAATATTTTCTGGTGCATTCATGACTAGAATGCATTCACTCTAGTATATAGAAATAATTCGATTTCGAATTTAAACCACAAATATAAACATTAAATAATGATGGCAATTATATCAGTCAAATGTAATGAATTTTTCATTTATGTTTATCAGTAGTTGTACTGAACAGTGGTGGAGAAGTACACAATGTCTTTACTTAAGTTAAAGTAGGGATACACTCTTAAAATATTACTAAAGTAACAGTAGAATTCTGTTTATATTTCATATTTTAAAAATCGTATTTAATGCATAAGTAGTTTGGGTTTAAAGTTATTTTTATCAACTCAATTATCATCAAAAGGCCTAGAGCTTAGAAGTAAGAACAGCTTGTCACCATTGAATGTACATTTGTAAATTTAATGTAAACACTGACTGTTAGTTGTGCTATTTAGGTTGCTATGTGCAGTGTATAAAGTTTGTGATGATAGCCCTACACTCGGACAGGCTGACACTCAAAATCAATGTGCTACTGGCGCTACCCATATCAGGGCACTCTCTGATCCACTCATGCCAGTGCTAACACGCCACCACCATGTCAGTAAAATAATACCTGCTCTGTGGTGGTCCTATAGGGGTCCTGACCATTGAAGAACAGGGTGAAAGGGGGCTAACAAAGAATGCAGAGAAACAGCCGGACTACAGACTGTAATTGTAGAACTACAAAGTGCTCCTATATGGTAAGTGGAGCTGATTAAATGGACAGTGAGGGTAGAAATAAGGAGATGTACTTAATGAAGTGGCCAGTCAGTGTATCCAAATACAGCTAACTGTCCATTCCTGCTAAATAAAACATTTCTATAATGTATTAATTCAAGGAGACATTTCTTTTAACACAGACTGCAGTGCTCAAAGCTCTTGACAAAATGGATAACCGTTAAAATCATTTTCATATTACATTTTATTTTGTTACATACACAGCTATTATTAAGGTACATAGATCATTAAACTGTTGATGACCTGCAATTTTTCCCAGCTGTTTTAACAACCCTGTTGTTGGGTGAGACAATGAGTAATGAGTAAGTATTTTTATGTCAAGGTAGAAGTATGAAATAATCAGCACGTTTTTTCAACCCGCAAAATGTCTTACTGCACTGTGCTGTACCACACTGTAATTTCTTGCAGTAAAGAAATTCCCTGCAGTGAGGACGAGCACATGACACTACTTAGAGATTTACAACTGATAGAGATGAGCCTCATGTAATGAACTTTGGAGGCCATTACCTTTTAACTGCTGTAGGCCTCTTTATATCTCAGATCAGTTACTGTCTATCGTACAGTTCTTAACACTGGCGTGGCAGCGTGTGGGGTGAAATCAGACCCCGGTGCAGCAATCAGGAACAACACACACTCTAGGTGTAATGGACTCTGTATGCTAATGTGGCCGTGTCGCTTCTCCACTTGCTGAACGTGGAAAGGTCACCGAAGGTTACTCTAATCCCATTGAGGTAAGGTCTTTGTTACTCTATTGGCAGAGAGAAGAGCGGGGGAGTGGCATTAACCCCCCCACACACACATACTCTCCCCTCCATGCTCCATAAACTCCAGGCCACACTATAGACCATCTGCAGTTCCTTATAGAAGACACACAGCTGCTGATGGGACGTACGTTACACAGGTAAGTTAGCACAACTATAGCAACAAATTAGACACACTATGGAAACTGCTTGAGTAAAAGTGAAAGTGACCTTAAAATTGTGAGTGCAATAGAACGTTAATGTGCTTAAAGATGAATCACAAGCTACACGTTATGAATATGTAATAATGCCTGACATTTTAGCCGCCTCATTAAGTGACCTACAACTGCAGCAACTTATGTTGTAATCCATCTGTTAGAATACTGTTCAATAAACCATTGATTATACAGTATCAGTATAATATCTGTATTATTCCTGAGAGCATCAAACAAGACTTACTCATAGCTTTAGAACTATTATTATCCAACTTACTGAACAACTGCAGACTGACTAGCAGTCAGTAACTTGATATATGAATATAAAGTATGTTTAGAAATACTAGACGTGCTTCTTCATCATTATTGAAGCTCCATTCCAAAATTTGAGCCTTGTCTGGGGTATTCATTTACTGGGTATAGATAGTTTTATACAGAGGAAGGACCATTGTTTCTGAAGTTGTCTTCATGTTACAGAGATGCTCCTGTAGTCCTCTTGCTGGGGGTCCTGCTGCCTGTTGAAAATGTAAAGCAAGGTGCATGATACCTTAGTAGGGGAGTAGACTGGTGAGCATGTTCACCCACCCCAAGCATTCACTAACAAGCTTTGATCAACTTAGGAGTCAGTAGGCGAAAACAGACCTGTCCATGATAGATGATGGAGACAGCTTTTGTTTTGTCCATAAACAAAATGCAAATCCAGTAGCTTCAGTTTTCAGGTGATAGCCTGATACCGCCTTGATTCATTTTAGCACCTAACTGGCATCATTTCCAGACTGAGAGTGTTATCAGTTGTAAGCACATGACGTCCCTCAGACTAAGTTCATCTTTGCCACTACTTTCATTGGAATACGGCCTACTTTGCACATCTGAGGACGACAGACAGAAGGTGAGATTTCAGTGTCGCCTGCCAAACCAAACTCTGCTGAACTAGACAGGTGGAGTTTGAGAAAAAGAATGAGATAACAGTGTTTGAATTACTTAAAGTGTAGTTGAGGACGCTGTGTGTCATGCACCTGGCACATCTAGTGTGGGTTAGGCTTCAGTATTCATAGAAGCGCTGTGGCATACTTATAAATTGTGTGTTTGCAATGAATCAATAAGTAAGTCTACTTATAACATTTGTGTGGTTTTGGTCATAATTCATTTATATATTTTTTACTTCTTTGTGTTCCTTACAATTAAATGGAATATTTTTCTTAATACTATTTTGTTCCCTCTCACAAGTAAAATGTGGTACACCTCATTCAAAAAGCAGTCTGCGCTGAAATGTAAGGAACCAACAGTTAAGTTTATTCTAAAATCCTCAAGGCTACTAACCATTGTGCAGCGTCACATCGTGCTGTGTAGCAAATGGCAATGGAATATATAAAAACAACTTGTTTCTTTTCATCTACCACCATTTTTCTCATTCTTAGTTTAGCTTAGCAAAATAATGAGTGGAGTGCAATGGAGAGATTGCTGTCCGTCTGACGTGGCGGGCGTGTGGTAGCCTTGAAGAACTTTAGAAAAAATATAAAACTTCCACTACACTATGGTAAGCCACTCCTTTTGATTGTCCGGATTTTTGGAAAGCTGCAATGATGCATTTGCTTTCTGGCAATCAGGAACATCACATTTCACCAGGTAAAGATCATGCTAAATCAGGAAAATGTTTAATTGTTTTCTTCAGATCTGCCTAAAAAACTTTGAGGCGAAGGAGCAAGCTAAACTGATGGAGGTTTAATGGGCGGTGTTCATAGGTGTGATGTCACAACCATGATGAAATAAAAACACGCTGTTTTTGCAATGAAGATTTTTGAAACTATATATCAATGTCGTCAAAAGAAAACCTCGTATCTCCACAATAGTAACTTTACAGGAAAAGGAAAAAACCTACTTTACTTTTACTTGTCAATGGAACTATACTTTTTTTCCAAGTCATTTTGGGCCGTTTCTTTTGGTCCATTCATCATGAAATTTACATACAATGTAAAGGGTGACAGACGTTTTCAAATTATGTAAAAAGCTGAAAAACAAAACATGGAGATACGAGGTTTTCTTCAGAGAGCAGCGATATATATCTATATATGTTGAATATGTTAAACTCAGCAAATAAATAGATATTGTGCAATAAAACGCATTAAAATGCCATATTTAAGAGAAATAAAACGTAATTTAACCCGGGGTATTCAAACATTTGCAAACGACTGTTTATTGGGCAGCGGATCAGTAGACATTTCAGCTAATTGCAGGAGAGCAGGATCACTTTACTCCATCACCCCACTTCCTGCTTTTGCCCCTTACAGCCTTACAGCCGCCACCCAAACAGTAGCAATGTTCAATTTGTATTAGTAGAGTCAGGTTCTTTCTGGACTGCCTCTGATGGGCAACTTAATTGCCACCAGGGATTATGTTTCTCCTCCCTCGCATCATCCACTCCTCTCTTCCAATTCTTTATCCCCACTCCCTCCTTCCATCCTTCACTTCTCTGGGTGCAACGCATTGCTGTAACAGCCTGTGGTCTGAACCCTGCTTGAGTTACTGAGGTGCTGAATAGGGCAGGTGACTGGATGGCAGCCCTGCGTGACAGTAGAACAAAAGGCAGGGCTGTACTGAGCTACGACCAAACTGCACTCGTCGCCATTCAACCCCCCTGTTAAACTATTGATTAAGGCCCATGTGCCAAGGGGACGTCACGTGGGCGAGCTGTTATGGTGATGGAGGATGGACAGAACGTAGGTGTGGTAATATGAAAGCTTTTTGTGCAACTATGAGGAGGAGAGTGGTGGATCAACATACTGAAGCAGAAAATGATGAGTGTGGAATGAGAGAATAATGGAGACAGTACAATGCAGATCGTTACCAGTGGACAAATGTTATATTTGATTCATGGACTGGTAGTATGTTAAATTCACTTTTCAGTTTTGGCCACTAGAGAATGTATCTGCACTACTGTGTATCCTGTAATGAAAATCTCTGCTTTGCTGAGAAGTGATGTGTTGTCCTGGAATTAGACTGTATTTCCTCCTTTTCTTTCCTTGTCTTCATTAAAAATGTATTTTTTCAAAATTTCTCAATAATTCAAAATCTGAGATGTAAAATCTAGAGCATTTTTGTGTAGGCAAGAATGTTTTTTGGGTAGGTCTGTGAAAAAGTATGTGGACCAATTTGGTACAAACAATTTCCAAACACGCCATGTACCGCAGTGTCATAACATCAGGCTATAATCTATTCCTAACAGCAGTGCAGTCCTCACACTGCCTATTTCAATGCTTCTAAACCTATACTTTTACAAAACAATAGCAAGACTATGTACACATCAACCAGAATGTCGGATTCACATTAACCCAACCAACACTGCATCACCCTTCACTATAAAGCATGTGCCTGCTCACCACAGGCACAACCTTTGCCCAATGAAGATGACATAACTGAGTTCAAATCAGATGGCTGAGATGTACAAAGATGAGGAAAAAAACACAGCAAACTTAAAAACTAATCATCCTAAGCTAAAGCATACTGCCACGGCAAGCACGAAAAATGTTCATGGACTATTTATATCCTACCTTTGATTACACGAGGCATTGAAGTAGACGTTTGACATTTTGACACAGCCCATTTTAGCTTTTGTGCCAAAAGAGCATTGTAAGTACCAAATCACTGACAACATTTTTAAATTTGTTTTTGGCCTTTAATGAGTAGAAAACGACATGCTGTATTGGGGACATAATTTACATTTTTCATATCCCACATTCTGACACCTGTGACTGCTGCACCTTTTAAGGTGGAAAGGAAAATTCAAATAGGAAGCCGGCAAATAAGGTGCCAGTTTCAGCCTCAGAAAACTCCCAAAACCCAAAACCAAATGACTTAAAGCCATTGTCAGTCAAGATTTGAAATTTGCATTGAACTTGAGATGAACTTCAACTTGAGCCCATATGTGCTAGCTGTGCTCTGTATAAACTGTCGTGCAACGCTTCTCCAGCGGTGTGTGGTACAGTTTACTCTGTAAAACCATCAACATCACCAAAACAACCGAGGTCCAAGATAAGCTATAGTCTATCATCTGTTTCAGTGGCCTTGGAATAAGTACATTTTGGCCAGGCCTTCGAAAAAATGGGTAGCCTAACTTTTTTCCAAATGTGCAGACCCAAAGAAGCCCACATGAGATAAAATCAGACACATGAGATGTGCAAAGATGAGGAAAAACAATACAGCAAACTTAATAACATAACCCTAAGTATCGTAGGTGAAACATTCTGCCATGGCTGGCATAAAACACGTTTATGGTAACATTATATTCTTGTCCTACCCTTGATGCACTTAGGTAACATTAATAGTTTGTGTTGACATTTTCACAAAGCTCATTTCTGCCATTGTATTAAAGGAGCATCGTAAATACCAAATTCTCAGAAAACTGTAGAAAATGACACTCTATGGGACAGAATCTCACATGTAACTGACCTCAGTTACATCTTTTAACCGAAGCTGGAGCTTCACATTCAAACACTGGTGCACAGATAACAAACTCATCTTGAGGCGATGGTGGATAGCAATGGTTGCTGTGCAGTGATTGGAGTGTTTGGAGAGAAGAAGGCGGAGCGTGGCGGAGAGCATAATAATTTGTATGGCTATACAGTGACAGTGCTTGTTGTCTTAACAAGTCCGCCTAATAAATATTCTTTCCACATTTGATTGGGTAGGCCTGTTATCAATCTGGGTAGGAGTGAAAAAACAGTAATAATAAAAAAGAACAACCAATCAGAGGCCCTGAATTACTTGGGGCCCCTGGGCTTCAGCTCAGGTAAGCCTTTGCATTAAATCGCCCCTAGTTATACATAACAAGTGCTATGTTGCTCTTTTTCATTTCAGGAGATTCTTATGACTGTGAATTCATAAACATCAGGCAACCTACAGAAGTTTTTCTGAGAAGGTTCATCCTGAAGATGGGGCTGTCTGTGTTCAGAGTGGCATTTGAATTGTGGATTGCGGAATAAATATTACATTTTCTGCAGTCATAGGTCTTTGGCTCTACCCCCTTTGCACCAGAAGGTCTCTGGCTTTAGCCCCACTGAGCCAACCACCCTTAAGGGCAGAAGTAGAGGAGATTACATCACACTGGTGTAAAGTCAAAGAGAGTAAGCTGATACTACAATAGTGGGAGACGCCTCTGAAGAAGCCTTTGTGCTACAGTTGATCCTTACCTGAGTTCCTGAGCCTCAATGGACCAACAAGCACATCCATCATCTTGGCTAGAGGTTGATGTGGACTTGGGCTTTGCCCTCTTCTTTCTACTCCTGCTCTGCCTCTTCTTGTTTGTCACAATTGTCCGCTGCGCCCAAACGGTGATCGATCCTTATGGAGCCATCTCCACCTCCACCTATCAGGAGGAGCAGATCAATAACTGACGGTTGCTTTGGCCAATCCCGCGCAGTGATTACACTGCAGGGATTAGGCCTGGACTTCTGTGAGGACAGTAGCTATAGATGTGGAGGGACCTGGTTCATGGAGATAATAGGGACTGTGCTGGGAAACAAGCTTTGTATGACTATATGTCAAGGCCAATTTATGAATATGGAGTATGACTTTGGAGTATTTTTGTACAGGCACCAACATATCCGATTATTGCCACTGTTTGTGTGTCACAATGATATTTGTATGTTTGAATTCTTAATGCTACCATTGTTTGAAAGAAATAATAAAAAAAAATGTTTGAAGATCAACATGCTTTGTTTCTATTGATTAGACATACAATATATGGCCAAAAGTATCCAGACACCTACATGTCCAGCTTTTCTTCTGAAATCAAAGTTAGAAAAAGGGAGTTTTTTTTGCAATAACAGCCTCTACTCTTCTGGGAAGGCTTTCCCCCAGATGTTGGGACATTGCATTTCATTCAGCCACAAGAGCATTAGTGAGGTCAGCTACCGATGTTGGATGATTAGTTCTGCATCATAAACGCCAATCCAACTCATCCTAAGGGAATTGGATTGTGTTTCATTGCCCCAGTTCATGCCAGTCATACTTAACTCTGAAAAATGTGTTTCCATTGCTCCACTGTCACACTTCAGGGAGCTTTATACTGTGTACAGTCTCTATGGAACTGTGTGTATGCACTGTAATACATGTTTCCGCCGTAAAGAGTAGCTGAATCCACTAATTAAAAGGGCATCTGGACACTTTTGGACAAACATTGTGTAGTTGTGAGATACATAAGACACTTTTTTCATACACCAGCAAATTTTACCACTACTAAAAAGAAACATTCATTGTTTAAACCCTATAACAATTACACTACGTTGCAATAATTACGACAAATAACAGTGACACTGGCAACAGGTAATGCAACAGTAGAGTGTTGGAGGACTAAACTGCCCATGTTAAACAATCATACTGTGGCTGTTGCTGTATTTTTCAGGGCAACTTGCAGAGACTGACAAAGGACATGCAGCCTCTGCATGCCAGTCACATTCTTTTATTATATCAATATGACATGAAGAGTCTTCTCAGTAACCTGTGCAGAAATGTCATGAAATATTAATCTTCCTGACTTTCTGAACTGTTCTAAACTTTGAATTGGGTGAGTGCTTCTCTTAACATCCAGTTCATGCAAAACCATGTGGGGAATATTGGGCTAAAGAAGTTAATGAAAAAAGGTGAATACATGTAATGTTAAAAGAAATTACGATGACTTTTCTAAATTATGTATGTATAATGTATATTTGTATACTATATATGTATAATTAAATGGTTAAGATGTAAACAAAGCCATTCAGAGTAGTTTGATGTGAAATACTTCATTCTAGAGAAACTTAACTGGGTGTTAACAGGAACCAGATGTCTGAAAAAAAGTTTATTGTTCTCACATAAAGAAATTACATTAAAGATATTGCCTGAAATGGTTACAAGTAAATGGACTGATGCTTAAGACATTATTTTATACTAGTTTGAGAGAATGTTTTGGTTTAAGACATTAAAAGCCATTCAAGCCATTCATGGTGGAGAGGTACAAGCAGGGTGTTGTAAGGCAAAATTGACCCTGAAGGTAACTAATTTTTCAGATTTTCCACTATGTTACCAGCATCAATGTTACATATAAAACTCAAAAGACGTGTAAGTCCACTGGTGGTTTTGGATTGTAAAAAATGGCCATATTTGCATTGCATAGATACAGGGATGGGGGAGTAGCTAAGCAGCGTGCTACTTTTTGTAGCTAACTACAAATTTTTGTAGCTAACAGCTGTAGCCGCTACAGTTTTATAAAATGTAGCTAATAGCTGTAGCGCCTACAAATTTTTGTGTAGCTATAGAGATCATTTTCGTTACAATTTCGCTACAGGCTTCAAGCAATCCACGCAAAATCTGAACCACAGAACGCGGTCATACATAGTCCGAAAACTCAGACTTACTTTGCTCTGCAAAACCTTTACCTCAGCTATAGCCGCTTTTGAACTTTTTACGAGGCTGAAGTTGCTTCTCATTCTCCAGCTTCTCATTTGAATTGTCCCGTTCCACCTTAAATGGTGCCTGAGGCGCCAGATTGCACTGCTGCACCATTTAAGGTGGAACTGGAAAATTGGAACGAGAAGCTGGAGAATGAAAAACGATTACAGCCTCACGACTTGTTGAAGATTAAATGTATAAGGAAATCAGCTGAGTGCTTATAAATGCAAATAAGTCCATTCATCTCCAATTTATCGATGTTCGTCTTAAATCTTTCCCTTTGCCTTTTCGTTATCTGAGCTGCTGTGTGACCAGAAGTCTGTGCGTCAGTCTTCAGCGTTAAAGGTTGGTGAATTTGAAGTTCTACATTAACTCTAGCGTTTAAGACGATTTACTGTGAAAACTGTGCTAGAACTGTGTTATAACCATTTTACAGCAAAGGAAGATTATGTTATTTTGCCTAAAAATCTAGTTCTGCTGTGGATCTGCAACAGCTCTGCAGCAGTGGAGAGATTATTCAGGCCTGATTCTCACCCCAAACAGAGTCACGGTCACTGATGGGAATTTTGAGGCTAAAGTGTTGCTGAAGTTTAATAAAGGACTCTGAATGTCATGTCTATCTTGCTGAAATGTGTAAATTGGAGGAGTTTTATTTCAGCAGTTGACAGTGCTTTGCACAAAATTGTTTGGTTTGTATGAGTTTATTTTTGTTGATTTTTGTTAGGAAAAAGCTGGAATAATTGACTTTGCCGTTACTTAGTCTAAGTTTTTGTTGGATATCACACCTTTGGTTGTGTAAGTTTGATTGTTTGTTACACTTCAACTTTTTGGTGATCTTTTTGTATATTTGCAGTTTTTCAATTGTATGTTTCTTTCTGGCACATGATTAAATGCAGTGTCTTGTTCGAACTGTCAGTTGGGCTTGTTTGGTGTGTCAGGTGGAGATTCACAAACTTTCTGACAATCGCACTTTTAAAGCAGCTAAAAAGTAGTGCACTACTTTTCAAAAGTAGCTGAAAAGTAGCCACTACTTTTTCTGGAAAAGTAGCTAAATTGTAGCTAGCTACAACTTTTGGGAAAGTATAGCTACCGAGTAGCTAACTACTAATTTTTCAGTAGCTATCCCAACCCTGCATAGATATCACAATCCCTGGTTCCCTTCACCACCACTGTAACAAAATCGGAGCCAATCTGAGACATTTCACATCAAACCACTTGGAATGACTCGTTTGCAGCTCAGCTACTGAACTGTGCAGACATTTTTGAAACTTTTTTGAATTTTCTTTAAAAGATACCCCTGTATGGAAATTATGGGTATTAGAAACCAAAAAGACCTTATAAATTGACATGCAACAAACATTTTCAGTAATTTAGCATATTGTAGGAAACACTTCGTATGATCTGGTATTTTATTTTGTTCACTCCATCTAAAAGATGTCTGTCAGCAATTGGTGCACCTTAAAGTGGCTGAATTCGGCGTTTTGTTTAAACCTATTGTTGCGAAGTTGCAAACTCAATCTTCAGCAGTGCCACAGCCATCCATGGCCGGAAGTCCACTTGCTCTCTCTGGGTGGGTAAGATGGCCCTCCATCTCCCCCATCACTCAGCATGAAGCTAGCCAACACAGGTGCTAATCTAACAAAATTGCCCAAAAGTTTGGCACCAAGCTGATCATATGCCACTGCTGGTCCACCCTCGGACCACCTAGATTATTGTCCTGCATACAAGGACTAACTAGTTTTTAATCTACTCAAACAGATTTTAAATGCACAAAGTCTTTTATTTTGGAAAATAAACTAAGACAAATATTACAAATTACTGAGAGAGTAAAAAATTGTGAGAATGCCTAATACAGACTGGTTTTGGTCAGAATGTTACTGATACTAGGCTAGATTAAAATGTTTAATGTGCTAGATTAAAATTATTAACTAAATTGAGCAAAAATAAGTAAATTCGAATGTGAGTGGAAAATCAGCAATGAAAAGCAGCAGTTTACTCTGCTTAACCACCAGTGGGCCTCCCATAAAACACTAGGTTAGCCTTCAGCAGGCCAACAGTGGCCTGCTATCCTCTTGCTAACTGGATGGTAGTTAGCATGTTAAACTGTCCAGTAATGTTAGAAAAGATGCAATAACGCTCCACATGTCTTGGAGGAAGCATGTGCTCTCTTTTACTGTCTCAGCTTAGCATCATGAGATGGGAGAACCATTGGCATTGTATATGACTGAATTAGGAACAAAATACTACTACTACTACTACTACTACTACTACTACTAATAATAATAATAATAATAATAATAATATTTATGAAATGGAAAAAAGAACCTGAATTTGCGAAATGGAGGTGGTGTGTGGATACCTTTGGATAGCCTAAAACATTGCTAAATGTACTATTGGTGGTGTACTATTTTGACATACTATTTAATAATGTACTATATTATTATACTGTATAATGTATATGTAATATAAATAGAATAAACATCCACTTAAAATCAGCCATGATGAGTGTGGCAGCAGGCTGACCTCGCCAACATGGCCTCTCCGTCCTCCCCGAACAGAAGAATGGTCACATGCACTGTCAATAACACCCCGCCGTTTCCGCCAGTACTTCCTTTCCGGCAGCGGCTGAATCCTCGCCAACATGCCAGTAAGTAGAGGAGACAAATTTACTCAAAATACAAGCTTATTTGGCGGCTTTAGGTCTGAAAACACCGCAATATATATGGAAGAGTGTGTTCAGCGCAGCGTGCTGTATGTTTTGAGAGGTTTAGTCTCGTCGGAGCTCCGAATTCACCGTGTTTTTGGTGACTGCTGCGTGCTGAAGAGCTGCCTCTGCTAAGATGGCGGCGCGCATACAACTAAACATGGAGGGAGGCTTCTAGGCTTTTCTCCTGAGTGACGCATTCTTCAAATCTTACAAAATTTTAAGGTTTTGAATCATTATTAGGCTGTGTATGTATCTCGAAAACACTGTAGAGGAATTTGAGCTAGTATTACTGAAACAAAGGTCGGTGAAATCGCTAGGCATTAACATGGGAAAATGGGGCAGACAATGCAAATGAAAAGCTGTTTTTCTCAGCAGTGTTGTAGAACTGTTCGCGTTTTGGTTGCTGTTTTACTGTGTGGGAACCCATGTGAAAGTCCTTCTCCTCAAGTAATTGCTTACTGTAACGCCTACAGCTCGCAAAAGACTTGTTGCACCCGACCCCTGAGGAGGAGAGGAGGAGGCACAAGAAGAAGCGTCTCGTACAGAGCCCTAACTCATACTTCATGGATGTCAAGTGTCCAGGTACAGTCTCCTGAACATGCTCTGTTTTAGAGAAACTTGCAGAGTCAGAATTGTTCACAGGGGTTGTGATAGGAACCAGATGCCTGAAGAGTTATTACATGAAATGATACATGCAACCTCATATGAAACATTTTGTGATAGTTTTATGATAATGATTTGGCATAAATGGATTTTAATCTATTTACTTGAATCAGTTCGTGGCATAATGAGGCTAAATACTCACTAAAGAATACTTAATTTTTAGATTTATTACTATTATACCTTTAACCTTGCATATGAAAACTCAGAAGGTACATGTAGGTTCACTGGTTTTGGGGAATAAAGTGACTATTTCTGTTGTAGGCATTGTGACTTCTGATTTCTGTCCCCACCACTGTAAAGAAGTCTATGATAAAGCATTTCACACCAAACCACTCTGAATGACTGTTTACATCTTAACCACTGAAATATTCAGAAATGTTAATGTAATTGGTGGAATACTCTTAAGTATATAACATGGAGAGGTGCAACAATACATTTCAATGTGAATGTATATTGAGAATTTCTCTCTGTCTCTCTCACAGGATGCTATAAGATCACCACAGTGTTCAGCCATGCTCAGACAGTAGTGCTCTGTGTTGGCTGCTCAACTGTGTTATGTCAACCCACTGGAGGCAAAGCACGTCTCACAGAAGGTGTGTGTCCTGCACTTAAAAAGAACCTGAAATTACAGTTGACCCTTTTCATCTTATGTCCCTGGCCATATTAAGCATGTTTTCTAGCTGAAAGCCACCATATCTTATCATGTTACGTGATGTTTGATTGCATCCCTTATAGGTTTGACAGAATTCACAATTTTTGTGTCCTTTGTCTTCGTCCATCAGTGTTTTCTCACTACAGTCCCCAGCATGCATTAAGTTACATCATTCAGCTGCTGGAAATCCCCCCTCTGACAAAGAATTGTCCTGACTACTAGCATAGCCACTGGTGTAGAGGCAAATAAATACAGACGTGATGTTCAGTTTCTTAGCAGTAACATTAGCAGTCATGCTTTTCCTGCTTGTAAATTCTGCGTGAACGGCCGACAGTCGTATTTACAGTTGGTAAGCTTGTGATTCTAGATGATGCATGAGTTTATGAGATGTGACATATAACACAACCTTTTACACGAGTGGAAAATCGCTCAACTTGTAGTGAATGCAAAAAAATACATACTTGCTGGGCTTTTAGTAAATCTGTGCACTTTAACACGGCAAAGAAATAGCAGGATATGTATTTTCTAGATCCCCATGCTTTCTTTTTCCGTGTAAAGGGCGTATCTGTGAACGAGCATCCAAACAGTTTAGTTGTATTTACTATTTAAGAATCTGGTATATACAACCTTCCAATTAGCATTCCAAATGCAGCATAAATTAATCCCATTTTCAGAGGGGGGTTTGTAGTCTTTAAACTGTGAAATCTCACTGTAGAGACTTCTGTGGTGCCCCTGTAGGGTGCAGATAGGCCTCTTTACAACAGATGTACCAAGGGCTAATTTTTTTTTTCTTCTTGGCTGGAGTGCCTCTTTAAAAGGCGAAACTCTTGTCTCCCATTAAAATGTAATGACTTTCATGCCACTTAAAACAGTTCAGGGTTTTGGCTACGTTATCGCACACCATTTGACTATTTGAAATATTAGCCAATAATGGCAAGTTTTACCCCCTTTTTTTCCTTATGCTCAATTAGCTGAGACGCTTCCTCTCTGATGGTGTTTCACTCAGAAATACATTATGTTAAGGAAGAAAAATGGGCCATGATTTCCAGTTCATGTTGATGAGAACAATTTCAGTAATAATGTGGAGCAACATTTAGAAGACACATTTAGCACATTTCTCAGTCATAATGTGAAATGGTAAAAGCGACTGCAATTGGAAGTGCAATTTGTTACATGAGCATAAATTTTGCCTGCTTGCCTGCCTCTTGTGTTTACAATAGTCATATGGTAAATAAGTGTTTTGAAATTGACCTTGTATTTAGTTGAGGTTTAGTGATCTTTGCATTTGTTTTGTCATTTTTAAATGAGTCTATTTCGGGTCTTTGCTGTAATGCTGCTAATGGTAAAAAGGTTGCTTTATTGCTGTAGAAATGTTTCTCAAATGATCTTCACTGTGTGTTACAAATTTCTAGGTTAGCACCCATAATTTCATCAGGAAACATAATTAACATAGTGTAGTCCATTACTTTGTGTTAATATGAGGGAATTAGCTTGAAGAGGTAATCATGCAGTTTAAGTGGAATTATATGGGCAGACATCCGCTAAATCTTTGTTTTGGATGAGAGTGTGGGCGATTGATTCCATGTTCTTGCTAATTAAAAGATAAATGATTACTAATGGCACATGTTGAACCCAGAGACCGCTGATTTCAAATTGATTAACTGATTCTGGAGCATGAGAGCTCTTCGGGACAAATTACCTACATCCACAAGCTTATTATAGGGACTGTATTTATGCTGGCACAATGAAAAGAAGTAAAATTTTATGGGGTAAATGTGCTGCTTTCAGTTATTTGCTTTAGTAACCTTAATTCAGATGTGCCTGGTGATGAATGGTTCTGAAGTATAATATTCTCTTACTTTGTGTTTCTCTCAGGGTGTTCCTTCAGGAGGAAGCAGCATTAAGCTCTTTGCTAGGTGTTCCAGTAAAGAGGAAGAGAGAGATGGGGTTGGACCCTCGTGAACTCTGCTTCTGGCTTTGATCTTTGATCTCTGCTGATTCCACATGAAAGAAGGAACAGAACCATCATCATTAGTTGCTTGGTTACTTGAAAGGATGGCTCTCCAACCCAGTCTCTTTCTTTCAATAAAATGTTTTGGCTAAAAAGATGTGATGTTTGCTCTTTCTAAAATGTAAAGAGGTACAGACATTTCATATTACAGTCTGGGGACATGAGCATGTTTTTCCTACGGTCATAATTATCTTTATTACAGTCGAGGCAAAGCAACTGTTTATATCTCGTTGCCTGTATTTAAGTTCTGCAGAATCGAATGAATGTAAAGCAGAACTTGTGATTGAAGCTGAGACTACTGACTAGACTTTCAGTCTCATAAAAATGCTCCAAGACTGCATCTGCTAAAATATTCTGTTTAAGTTAACGTGGAAATGGATAGCAGCTGCTCTGGAACTGTTCATATAGTTGGGCTCTATCAAATAATTTTATTATAATTTTTTTATTATTTATTTTTAACTTGAGGTAAAGTTATATATGCTGAGCCACCTTAACAGGAATGCTCTTAGTTTGAGTTTAAGGCTGCTGAGATAACAGTAAATCCATTCATCGATTGTTTTTGTACTAAAATGCTTTCATTCTCAAAAAAGCCTATGCATGCCTTCAAGCTGTTAGATGCTGCAAAGACAGTGGTAACTAGTGATGCTCATACTGATTCATTTGAATCATTGGATCAAAATGAATCTATTGCTCAGTCTGATTTGAACACAGTCACAGGCTATTGGTGTGTTTGGTGCGAGTTGATGACTCAGTTGAAAAAAAAATGTTTAATTTTAGTCTTGGACATTACGTACTAAGGTCTATGCATAAACTAGAACCCTTCGTGGGTTGTGTGGATTAATAGAGGCATAAAAATAATACTGAAGTGTTTCAAGAGCGTCAAAAGCAAGTTGTGATGCTTTTTTTCCAGCTGTTTTCAGGCACACCATACATAAGCAAAGCTTTTTTCTAACAGCTCATTTGCTACCCAGCTCATGTCTCTCTCTCTCAGCTTTTATATAACAACTTTATGTATTTATATAATACTGTATAATAATGTATAATTTTATGTATTTATATATTTGAAATATGTTTCAAATACATTTCAAATACTAAAATGAATTTCAGAGTATATTGTTATATTGACCATATTTTAAAATGTATTGGGAAATGACACAAGTAATGTATTTATGAAATACATTTGAACATGTATGAAAAAAGACAAAATACATAATGCACTTCACTGTTTAAAAAAACCTTTTGAAATCAATTCCACTGATTCTGTGATCTTCAGGCACACACTTAAAAATGATGGTTCTTCAAGGGTTATTTAGGAAAGAAAATGGTTCTGTATAGAACCATGAACATTCAAAGAACCCTTTTCATGATTACAAGATTCCTTGCATCATGAAACGGTACTTCAGACTGATGGAGAATGTGCTGAAAATGATTCCATATAGCACCAAAAACGGTTCTGCTTTTGTCATGATATCAAGCTTGTACCAATAAAAGAACCCCTTTTGGTGCTATATAGAACCATCTACAGCACATTGTCCATTAATATGAAGAATCCTTTCACGATGCAAAGAACGTTTAATCATGGAAAGGGTTCTTTGAGTGTTCATGGTTCTATACTGAACCATTTTCTTTACTAAAGAGCCCTTAAAGAAACCATCATGTGTAGTTAATCGGTCCTCTAAACTGAGAGAAGTTCTCAGAAAACAGGCTGTCCATCAGGCCCGTGTGTGTTTGTGGTAACACAGAATGACTTTGACCAGAGAATTATCTTCAGACAGAGGTGCAGCTGAAAGAGCAGAGGACAGGTTAAAGCCCGAGCCCTGTCACCACTAATCTCTTATGAAGTGTATCAGCGAGCTCCAGATCCTGATCTGATCTGTCAGTAGTGAAAATCCCACAGCACAGCACAAAGAGCACCGGCCGCCATTGTGAGGAAAAGTGCTGAAACGCAGTGTCAGTGCTGTGTAGGTCTTACTGTCACCAGGGGCACAAAACACCATGTCACCAGAGTTTTTCTGAGCGCTTATAGTTCAGCTGTCACCTCACTATAAGGATGAGAGCACCACGGATTTTCATCTGATACCAAGTAAAACATTTATATATCAGTACACTTACCAGTTCTTTTAAAAGGGGAATCATTCGTGAAAAAATGAAAAACCAGGAAAAAATGGACATTAATATGCGTTAGTATTAAATAAACTGTTTGGGGAGATAACTCCAAATGATCTGCCATTGCAGAGCATTTACTGTCACCTGTGGCTGTCTGTGCCGGAGAGAAAAGGCGGCAGGAAAAGTAGTTCCTATCCTACACATTTATTTGCTGATATATATTTTTTCTTTTTCTTTTTCATCATGAGTTTAATAATACTGCATACTCTTAAAGGAAACACCTAGTACAGATATCGTCATGTCAGAATCGATTCTAAAAAAGAAACGTCAGGATCAGATTTATCTATATTTCAGTATCGATCCGCCCAGCCCTGCCTTACTGTAGTGTTAGGCCGTCACAGTCGAATGCTTATTACTGTAAAACTGCACGGAGGTATTTAATGTAACTTTAATCAGGTCGTTTTTCTAGCAGTGGTGAAAGTTAATATACTGACCTTTTTGTTTAACCAGGCGGTATACTGACTTTTATAGATGCGATTTTGCGTGTACTTAATACACTTTTTTATTCCAAAAAGTGCTTCACATATCAGGAAGAAAGATAAACATCACGCGCGAGTTACTTACTCCTGATAAGGTGATTATCCTAATTCTTCTTTTAAAGCTGGTAACATCATATGCTAAGGAGATTTAGGCGATCAAATTTAGGCTGTCCTACCTATAGTTAGACCTGTAGACAGATATGACACAGCTAGGTTAGGTTTTGCTAAGGTCAACTCTGAAACTAGCAGCACTTCAGCAGCTAATAGGCTATTAGCCGTTCGACAATATTTATAAACAAGATGGCTCTAATGTCAGTTTTTTTGGTAAAGAATTAAAATTCTCAGATATACCCATTTATTTTGTGATTTTGTTTATGTCGTGTCCATCCAGACATGGAAGGAAGAGGGAGGGAAGAACAGAGAAGGTTTATGAGAACTCATGAATCTCTGACTCGCTGTCAAAGCAGTGTTGTGACTGTGCATTAAAAATGAATAACTGTGTTTCAGTATTTCAATTTTACTATCTAAAAACATTACTATTTAAAAACATTTCACTGTCACAATATGTGTGTGTGTGTGTGTTCATATATATATATATATATATATATATATATATATAACAACAGACAACAGTACATATATTCAAAGGCTGAAATGCTTCTGCATCAAATCATCGCAGAGTCTAGACCAGGCGTGTCAAACTGGGCACCTTCCAGGCAAAACTGCTGTGGAGATTAGCGTTTACCCTCATCTAATGCTCTGAATTCAGTTCATGAAGGCCTTGCTAATTAGCTGATGAGCTGAATCAGGTGTGTTTAATGAGGCAGTGTGCTGGAGTCTGCAGTGTGTTGGCCCGCGAGGACTGGAGACTGACACCTGTGGCCTACGCTGTTGTGAGCATTCATGCTTGTGCGTTGGTGTGCCTGCTTTCCTCTGCAATAACACCGGGGCTTGAGCTAAGCTCAGGTTGGTTTTTAGAATCAAGTGCAGACTAAATACTTCCTGCTGCTCTAGGCAGCTAACCAGCACGTTCACAGTTATAAAAGAGAAATAAAAGCTACTGAGAGCAATAAGTGCAACTCAGAAACCTGTATTTTTCTTTTTTTTCTTTTTTAATTTATTGTTTATTTATTTTTAGCACTGCCCTATGTGCACAGGTGTAAGCAAATTGTCAAAGAAATCTGCTTTTATCTCTCTGATAATTGTAAATACATCTGTAGTTATATCTGATGTGTTTTTTATGACAGCTATTTTAACATTATTGTTCAGATTTTTAAAATCTAGGTCACAAACATTTGATGTGCTGCTCAAGGGAGATCCCATTATTGGAGGCACATTACAAATATAGCACCAGGTCAATCATATGTTTAAAGAATCAGCAACATGCAGAGATGTCTAAGGATTATAACAAATTTAGTGAAAATCGGTTGAGTAATAAGGAATTTTATCATGAATTTTAATCATGAAAACTTATTATATCTCAGTATGTGTGTATTTGTTGACAAGCGGATCTCAACCAATCCAAGCGCAGATGAATCACCTCAGATTGAGAACAACAGACAGATATTTTTTATCAATGGTCCTACTGACTAAAACCTGTTTTCTGTAGAAAATTGGAAAGATACTGTTAAGTTTTCTTTGATTTTTAATTGAATACATTCTTCTACTTTCCAAAATTAAAGAAAGTTCATGCATGAACAGGTTTAATTGTTTTCATTCTTAGCCATTAAGCTCAGTTTACCCCATTCATTGAGGAATTGCTCATCTCTTTTATTTTAGGCATAATGGGAGAAATAAGAAGTGGTCAGGCAGTATCCCCTTAAACTGGGTGTGTTAAAAGAGGAAAATCACCAAACTCTACTGGACTCTGGCCCTCAGTTCCCCCTTCCTGCATCAGTTAAATGAAGTGTGTTCAGTTTTATCCGCCAAGGGCTGGAGTGGCGGCAGGTTTTCAATTCAATCAAGCAGAAGGACACCTGATTCCACTTCTTTAATCATTTGGTCTCAGTCTTCAACAATTAATCATATGTGCTCCGGCTTGGTTGGAATGAAAACCTGCAGCCGCACCAGGCCTTGGCGGATAAGATTGGACACACCTGAGTTAAATAATCAGCGAGTGTTGGCCTGACTTTGGTTTTAACATCTGTAGATCTGATTTAAATTAGATCCCTACTGCTTTTTTTTAAACTGAAAGTGAGTGCACTGACATAGGAAATGCCTGGTGTGCAATTCTTTCTCCCCTAGTTCTCTCAAAATCACATTAATGCTACTAAGATGCTTCAGCTTAATTGCACAGAGTTCTAATCTGATTACCTTTAGGCTATGCTGCAGTTTAACTCACTCAATTAGACATGCGTGAATTATTTTGGCCTACTGTTTGTACAGTTTGAACTGTATAGCTTTTTATGTATTATTTATTTCCTGTTGTACTTTGTGCAGCTCCAGTGTAATG